AAAAAAAAAGAAAGAAAGAAATAATGACTTTCAAACAGTGCATTTCACCAAGATCATAACATTTCCTTGAAAAACTTGAATTTGATGCAAATAAAGTTTGGTGCATCTACCTTAACGCACAATGCACCCAAGAATTCCATCATTCTTTCCTTTGTATAACCCCTTCTCTACCCTCTCTTCAATACTAACAACCCGTGGCATAAACTTTTCATGAACTATTTTCTCTGATGCCTAGTATCTTGATTTCCTTTCAAATTTATCCCCATGGAACATTCAAATTAAAAAGTTGTGTTGCTCACCACCCTGGCCAGTTCCCTCTCATCATGCCCCTGAGCATCTACAAAGGGTGTCTTAAGAGACGCTGTGGCTTTCTATCAACTTGTCCAAGCACTGACTGTTTCACTGACTCCTGGTATGCACACTTCTTTAGCACACCGTTTAGGAAAAAAGAATGCCTTGGTTTAAAAAAAAAAAATTGTGCCTCCTTCAATACTTTGTCCACCTTAAAAAAAAAGAGAGAACTGGCAAATCAACTCTAATCTCTGATTTCAAAGTAATTCTAGGGCTAATGAAAAGTTTTAGATCTCTTACTGTTATTGAAATTTCTGTTGCTCTTACATCAGATGGCTTGCAACAGAAAGATTACCAGTATAAAACTTATTAAAGAAGAATCTATAAATGAAATCAGCACAATACTTTGTCAAGAATGAATACTCAAAAATGTCACCAATTTTGAAGGTGATAATTATAATGTCCTCAAGGACCGCACAAACAGTGCCTATCAAGGCTTTGTTAATGATCCATATGAGTTCAATGCCTTTAGCATCAAGACAAAGATATATTAATATAGTTGCTTTTGAAACATTCTTATCCTTTCTAAGGGACAAATAAGTAGGAAATAATGGGAAAAGAAAAAGGCTCTATTTAATGCAAAATGAAGAGAAATGACCCACTCAGTTTGCCCAGAGACAAATGCCGCAGGTTACACTGGCCTAGCAGTGCATAGCAGATGCATCTGAAATGCAACTTACTTTTGCCCAGGAAATTTCTGTATCCAAGTCACCAAGCAAACCTTCTGAGGTGGATTTCTGTACCAATTCCGCTTCAGTGACGGTCAGCCACTCCGACAGGGAAGCGGTATCCTTCTTCATCTTCCGGGCCAGTTGTGATGCTCTCTCCAAATCCTGCTTTCCCTCGGTCACCTGAAAAGGGTGGAGAAAACAGGAGAGGGAGAAGGAGAGGGGAAGGTAGAGGGAGGGGAAAATGAGCATGAAACGTAATGGAACAACATTTATCCAAACTGATACCTGTCACCCCCCCGACACACACGGCCTCCAGTACTAGAAGCCCCTGCAGTCACAGCGGCGCTGCTGTGGCCCAGTGTCAGGCAGGCCTGGGTTTTCCTATCTTAGCTCCGCCACTACTCCTTAAATGTCCTTGACAGACGTGAGCCCTCTATTGAGTAGAAAAACACAAAGGACTTGGCCCAGTCTTTGCAACAGAGGTAGCAATCAATATATCATCATTTTGAACAGAAAATGCCTTAGAATCCTCTTAAACAAACCTGCTTCAAACACCCCTACACACATTATAATCTAGCAATTTGAGGAGGAAACAGCATAATTTTCATAATTATAATTTTTATAATTAACGATTTAACTAAAAATACAATAAATGGGGGCCTCCTTGGTGACCCAGGGGTTAGTCTCAGCACTATCACTGCTAGGGCCTGACTTCAACCCCCCCGCCCAGGAGCTGACCCACATGGCACAGCAGACCTTCTGGTCTCACCCTCTGCTCCCCTCAGCGATGTATTTCAGTAAAATCTGCCTGCTCTCCTCTGCAATCTGTCTCTGGTGAATCCTCTCATCTTTCCACAACCTACCCCTGCTTTCCCACTGTCTTACACTCCACCAGTTCTTCTATGCAAAAACTTTAAAAAATGAAAGGATTTTAAATATGCTAGATAAATGTGAACTGTCAGTTACTATCAGAATACTGATGTTTTGGCCTTTCTCATTAGAATGAAGATTCAATTTACCAATGAATGAGCAATAAAGTGAATCTAGACAGGAACTGATATTTGCAGAGTTTATTTAGAATAACCTGTGAAATCAGTGGCCATAAAACATCAAAAATCATCTGGATTAAATATTAAAAATAAATATCTATGTAACTCTTCATCATTGTAATATTAACACATTTAAAGAAACACAATAAAAATGAGATAATTGAAAACACTTAGATTAATACATAAAATTCAAACATGAATTCTCACAGAAGTGAATATTTAAAAAATATAAAAGTGGGGGGGGTGAGGTGGGAGGAAGTGGGCATTTTGCTTACCTGGGCCCCCAGGTCATTGTAGAGGATCTTTAAAGAAGTCAGCTGCTCATCCATGCCTTTGGGGTTGTCTGTTTGCTGCTTCTGAACCATGTGCCGTCCTGTCTTGATGACAGTCTCCACTTCAAGTTTGACTTCACTCAAAGTTTTATACAGTTTCTTAAAAATAAAGCAAGACAAACTTTATAACAGAGTGAAAACTTGCTGAAAAGAATCATTGCAAAGCATCTCCTAGTCAAGTTGACAGGTAAGAACTATTAATATGAAAGGGCTCCAGGCCCTCCCTTGTGGTGCAGCGGGTTAAAACTCAACACTGCAAGCTAGCCGCAGCCACTTTAGTGCGAGTTCAATCCCCTGCCCCGAGGTGATCCACATGGTGTGGCAGACCTCTCCCGTCTCACACGCTGCTCCCCTCAGCAGTGTACTTCGTCAGTCTGACTGTTCTGCTCCCCACTGTCTCTGGTGAATCTTCTCACCACTTCTGGCCTTTACCCCAGTTCTGTATGCATAAATAAATAAATCTTTTGTAAAAAAAGGATTAAAGAGCTCCCTCTTTCTCAGACTTATTCAAATCATGAATAACAATATTTTTTTTAAATCAGGTAAGAAAATGAACTATAACAGGTCATATTTGTTTAAAAGAGACATAAATTACAAATACGATTCATATGATAGTATGAGAGCCAAATGATAATATATGTTCCCGTACAAAAATGAAAAAATATTAGAACTATAAATTGAAGGCCAAAATTACATTTTAAAAAATCCTACATGCTATAACTATAGAAAGTCAACACTGGTTGTTTTTAGTTGTTAGATTTGGAAGTATTTTCTCACAACTCTTTACAGTACCAAATCTACTACAATGTGCATATTGCTCCTACAATAAGAACATAAATAAAGCCCAAAAGAGCAATTTGTATATGACTGTAAGAAATCAAAGCTATGTAGGTCAGATTAAAGGCTGTCTTTATGCTAGTTTCCTCCAAAAGCTGTATTCTGGGCAGGTTCTCTTGTCTCCATTCATCACAACTGTGACCTAAAATACTTCACGTGGCTTTGTCACATAGTAAGAGACCACTGGACTAGTTACAAGAGGTCAAGGGTGCCGCTTGCTTTGGTGACCTCTATATGTCAGTAAATATATATAAGCTTACATATATATTCTTTCTTACATACGAATTATCCCATTTGTTCATTCTTTCACCCATTTCAGTTTCTGAGTAATAAATACTCTTCGGTATGTTACAGACTAGTGGGTATTAAGGGTCTTGAAAAGAACAACTCTTCCTAGATTTTCTCGTCCTCAGAAGTGTCATCTTAAGTTTCTTCATGAATTTTCCCAAGCATAACACTAATGTCAAAATAGTGTATGCCTAGCCACATTTGAAATTTCTATTCCAGTGAATTATAAATTTCAAGATTAAAATAGAAATAAGTTCTATTTCTTAAAAGCTATAATTTCTTCTTTCATATCTTAAGTTCCAACTTCAACTTAAAATTTTCTTTTTCTTACCAATGATTTATTTTTGTGCTATAATATTCTTGAAATTCATTTGAAACAGACTGTTTCCTTTCTCAGTGTAGCTTAAAAATGTAGAAACTGAAATTTTTAATTTTACTTTCTTGAGAATGAATGTTTTACACTGCAAGATTCTGTCATCTATCCTGAGTATGAGTCTTTTGGCTAACTCAAATTTATCCTTTCAGTCTTAGCTTGTTAGTACCATTATGCCTAATCCTTCCTTTACCTCATACTGTGATTATATTTATAAGTGTAGGATACACACACACGCGAATTTCCTTATATCACCACACTGGAATAGTTGGGTTTATTCTCTCCAAGGTGTTTCTCCTATTTCATCTAATTTCCTTACAGGAAAGAATCAAATATTTTTAAACCTGTTTTGCATCACCAATCTCTAATCCTAGCTCATTAAAGACTAATAATCACTGAACAAGCCATGTAAATAAAAGCTAAAAGAAGCCTATTAGCTGCTGCATTCAACCTCCCCATGGCCTCACCATGCACTTGTCCAGGTGGGTCTGGATGACATCAGGGTCCACCTCCTTCACATCCATGACGTAAAGTTCCGATTTCACTCCGTCCAGCACACGCTTGCAGTCAAGCATGCGCTGTTCAAAGTTAGCAGGCTTCTGGAAAAGCTGGAACTTTGTGGACACCTCTCGAAGTTTCCTCTGTTTGCAGAAATGAAAATAACTGACATCAGCATACCAATCTCTCTCTGAGATGGTATTAGAATAACAGATACTATTTTGAAAGCTATAAAATATAGCATAAATAAAAATTTCGGTGCCACAACCCTGCCAGCACCCCCAAAGAAAGCCTCAGAGGAACTCACTAAGAGCACCTGGCCACTTGGGTGAGCTACAATACATACAACTCAGTATCTCAGTTTTAGGTATAATAAAAGCCTAAACTGGCCTGGCTTGGTTCCATTCAGAGGCACAGAAGCTAAAAATACTGTGCACCATGAGCTCAAGGTGCAAATGAGTCTCACATCCACTAGGAAGGCACCAGCGGGCTTGCACCTAAGTACTCGGCTGCATCAGTGGAAAAATCCTTATACAGTCAGCTTCTAAATCCAGCACTCTCACTCCTCCACTCAACTATAAAACCAGATTCATTATGTTCCAGCCCTGTGGTGACACGTTTGTGCTGCCTTGGGGTACCACGCACCTTTGACCCATCACACCGAGGTTACCTCACATGTCAGACCAAAGGCGCCCGAGCAGCGTGATTATCCCCAGATCCTCCTTCTGCCCAACACAAGGGAAGCAAAAGGAACTGCTCTCCCCTCCTCACCTGCAACACGTCCACCTGGCTCCCGCCCCGCGCTACCCTGCCCTCCGGCGAGGCAGAAGGCTGAGAACGTGTATTTCTTCTCAGCTCCTCCAGAGTTAGCTCATGAGCTGAAATCTCTGCTTGAATTTTCTGCAAAGAGATAAGAACAAGGAGACTTTTTTTTTTAGTTGGAGACAAGCTCTTAATTTTTTTTACTGATGGGACATCCATTAAGTCATTATAGAAGTGTCAGGTGTTTGTCACTGAGAATCAGTCTGTGTGTGTACCATAGTAAGATGACTACTAAAAGTCTAAACGAGCCCTTCACTATGCTACTGTTCTCCTTAAGATGTAAATGCCCCTCAGATGAGTAGGTAAGGAAAATGTGGTATATACACATCATAGAAATCTATTCAGCTTAATGAAAGGTTAAATCATGCCACTTACTACATCTTTGGGTGGGCCTTCAGGGTACTATGTCAACTGAAATGAGTCAGGTGGACAAAGTCCAATGCCGTATTATTTCACTCAGATGTGCAAAATAAGCAACAAAAATAAAAGGATCTTAGCCTACAGGATATTCTAAGATAAGATATTGACAGGATCTTAGACTGTACGAACAAAATGGTAATATACCAGGAGGGAAAGGGGAGGAAGATAGATAAATCAGGTAAAAGGGGTCAACTGTATGGTAGGAAACTAGATAGATGTCAAATGATAATGCTGTACACCTGAAAGCTATATAGTTATAAACCAGTGTTACTTCAACACAAGTTATAAAAAATTAAATTAAAAATACAAACTCCATACAGCTGCACAATATGGACAGTGATGCTGATCCCGCTGCAAACATTAGTAAGTTTGAAGTATTGGGCCTCCCCAGTGGCATACAGGTTAAATCTCAGCTCTATCAAGCTATCACTACTCATTACAGTGTAGTGTATACAAACAAAGGTCTTTGCATCCGACATGTCTATGTTCACCACTCATTTATAAAGAAGGAATTTTCCCAATTTCATAGCTAAAATAATTATAGTTTTAAAAGTGATAGTTATCTGCTTGGGTCGGCACAGACACTTACACTGCCCACAAGAAAAGTCAACCTTTCTCTCCGATTCATGCCAGGGACGCAGAAGGGGCTGGGTCCCTCGTAGGGGAAGAAGCAATTGCATATATTCTTTCTTACAATCAAACACCCTCAAGCTCGGGCAGTACCTGAGCTTCCTGAGGCACCTGGAAGGCATCTACCCTATCGGTCAGGTAAGTCGTAAGCTGCTTGTCCAGTTCCCCTAGGCTCTCCTGCAAGACTTGAAGCATGTGGTCAGTCTCCCGGAGGACCTGGAGCTGCTTCTCCAATGAAATCTGCTTGCTCTCTGCCTACACAGGGGAAAAAATTTAATCATTAGTTGCTCGACACAAACACGAATAACTGATTAAAAAAAAAAAAAAAAGCCTGATGTTCTATCTACCAAGAAAGAAACAGACCATAAAAGCACTAGTTCAAGACTTTGGCAGGGATTATAAATGAATAATAAACAGTGATCCTGAAGAGGTCCTTTTAGGGTATCTTAGGTATCTTGCAATAAATTACTCATTTTCATTTCTTTGTACATACAATGACAGAACACAAAAATACTTACTATGTAACACATCAGAGAACAAAAATGTATCATTTATTATAAATAAATTTGGGGAGAGGGGGGCTGTCAATCAGCCATAAGCTTATCATTGAAAAGATAAAATATAAAAGAATGTCTATCAGTAGAGGGAGCCTATAAATGTATTCTTTCTTTCTTTGTGTGTGTGTGTGTGTAAGTACTAACATCTTTTATGCAGCCGACAGCAGCATTTAATGCAATGATTCAAATTCACAGTAATATTTTTCTACACAAGTTCTATAGATGCATATCATGTTGACCCAATGTTTGCACACTTTGGCTAAAGTTTGTTGCTATTCATGATATAAGCATCAACATTTATTACTTAATATTGAGGCATCTAATATCTACCTGACCCTCCTATCCAAAACCAATCTCTGTTCTCTAATTATTGATATAAATATGGATGCTGTGAATCATTCTGAATGTGTCCGGGGTTTGTGTCATTTAATAATAGCAGTTCAAGTCATATTCTGACAGGTCTAATATTTACCAGGGTAATCTGAATTATTCTTCTTATATACAGCTATCACATGGTCTTGAAAGGAAATTAAATTACTGATAAGTAGCAGTAACCTCAGATAAGATGTTTTAGTCGTCAGATTAAGCCTACCTTAGAAGTTGGGTCTACTCTCCCAACCCAGTTCAATGCCCTTTATACACCCTTCTCCCCAATCCACCTCCCTATGGTTGCTGGCTACTAGTTTTTCCCCAGATAAGAGTTCTTGACATCATAAACACCCAATCAACACTCCTGCTTGCCCCAGTTCTTACACGGCGACTCAGTTCTTCATATCGACTGTTGAAAGCCTCCAGTTTCTCACTGATTATGTCATCCAGGATTCCCCCATCAATTAGAGTCTGGCCAAGTTCCCGAATTTGTGTGCGATTGTCTGCTGGATGTCGCAAAACAGATTCTAGAGACTAAACAGGTACAGGAAAGAAGATGTAATATTGAATACAAATATCAGGGATCCTAAAAATGTCACCCTTTTTATTAAAATGCTTTTTCTAAAAATTTACTTAGAGAATAAGATCAAAAATCTCCAATTGTTATTGAATATATTGCCAAAAAAAATACTTATATAGAAAGCCAGATACTATTTTAGGTAAATGCTTTTATAAACAAATCTAATTAAATATGAGGACTAAGTATCATCCCTGAGAGCTAAATATCATTCCCCTATTACAGATGGGAAACTGGAACTCAGAGAGGTTACTGATGTAATTTTCCTGCAGTAAGCACAAAAGAGCTCAGATTCCAACTTGACGCCAAAGCCGTCATAGCCCCAAGGTCTTTGATCCATTTACTTTAATATGTGAGATCCCAGTGTATATATCACAAACATAATAATAATAATAATTAGGAAAAAATGCTCTAAAATATTTAAAGGTGTTTATGACAATGTTTGCTTTGCACTATTCTTCATAGGCTGTATTTCTAGGTTATCACATTTTAGCTCTCATGTTAAAAAAATATGCATTTTGAGTAGGATTTTTTTTTTAACTTTCTGACTTACCAATGGCTTCTCCAAAAAGAAAAGATATTTGGACTTTTTTCTATTTTATATAATAAAGTAGATCTATCACCCTGTGAGAATATATAAATTTTATTTGAAAATAAAAATTTTGACATACAGAGTAAATCCTTCAGTGGTCATGTCTGAAGCTATCTCCTTAACAGAGTTTCTTACCAAGGTTTCCTTAGTCACCACTGACCCTATCCTTAGATGACACCATCCACTTGGAAAATTTTCAAATAGTGTGAGTGAGAATCTACAGTTTTACAACATATCACAATACACACTATTGGAAAGATAGTTAAGTTTTTTATTTTTTTCACGTAATGATGTAAAACATAAATGTTGCCTTGACATATAGTCACATATAACTTCTTCCCTCACATTTACAACCCAACAGATGGGGAATCCATAGGACATGTGAAATCACGCTGTGGAGAGACCATACTTCTGCTCCACAAGTTGATTCTAGCCCATTCCTTCTTCTAGTCTCGAAAACATCCTTCTGTAGTTTGATGAGATAAAGCCACAGACAGGGGAAGATGCCCAATGTCCCATTTTCAGACAGTTCCATTTTTCCAGTGGCGACAACTCTGGAGCCTGACGGGCTCTAGTCCAAGTGGTGGCGCCATCTTGCCAGGTAGGACGTATGGATTTTAAAAGTAATTTCTTCATGGCCTTTCTTTTTATTCTCTCAATCTCAAACTGCTGTTTTGTTTAAAAAATTACCTTTGTCTCCTGAAGAGTGTCCAGCCCCTAGAATTTTGGTACCATATTTGTCTTTTCCTGACCACCAAGCCAGCCCTCCATCTATCACCTCATTATGTCCCTACAAATTTAAAAATCTATGTACCCTCTTACACCTCGTTTTCAGCAAATAAACTCTTTTCCCATTTTAATTCATGGAAGGAACAATCATGCAGTTATGCCACCCTCTGTGCTGGGGAGCTGGAGAACAATGGTACATCAGGTTTATTTCTTGATCTCCAGTCTTGGAGGCTCAAAGGAGCTTGAAGGTACAGGGAGCCTGAGTCCAGCCTTGACACAGGCACTAAAAACAGAGTCCCATGTCTCAAATACTGGCGTCTCCAACCCGTGCTCCAACTTTTCATATCTGAAGACAACAGAGTAGGAGTCACTATAAACACAGTCACTACAGTGCCTCGTGAGCAAAAATACCTCTTGGAAGAAACAAGAGAGCAAATGTCCTAGTCACATAAGGCAGGGTTTTATCCGCAAAGCAGTAAAAACAAACTGGGAGATCACAAGTGTGCTTTACAATGTCTAAAATGTACTACCAAACAGCTCACCACCTCATGAAGTTACCCATAACCTAAATATACATGGTCATATAAATCAAGTTGACAGTGGAAACCACGGAGGAAGCAAATGTGTTGGTCAAGCATGCATCACCACAGTCTTCATTCTTAACACCCTTAGTGCAACAATAACAAACACTGCCAATAACACAGGCACCCACCTCTAGGGCTTCATTGATAGCATCCGTCTTCTCAGGGAGAGACGCTGTGCTCCTCATCCGCTCTTCCAAAGTATTCAGCCAGTTAGTCTCAAGATCCAAATACTGAAGCAGTTCGATCCAACAAGACCACACCTCCTGGAAGCCAGAGGGGAAAAGAATTAAGTGGGCTCAGAAGGCATTTCGTCTATCACCTTTCTCTTCAAACATTTTCCCTCTGATCATGAATTTCATTTAGATATGAATTTCTACGAAAATATAGAAACTGGTGAAGTCAAAATTTTTAAAAAGTGAAATAAAATCAAATTCTTTAATTATTCTTACTCAACCAACTCAAGAGAGGACTGGGCTGGCTTGCTCTTTACACTGAATTCCAAGGATCTGCTTATGTGTCAAAAATACCATTATGTCGTTAGGAGAAATCAGGAGGAAACTTTTTAAAATAAAGACCAAAAGTACTCAGAATAGCATACTTTCAACAGTTAGGAAAGGGAACTCCCAGAGGCCCACCCAATTCCAATGCACACCTTATGAATGCAGCCACTTGCTGTATAGTCTGCTGTATACAGGGGGTTTCGCTATATGAAGAGAACCACATTTCATCCAAGATGGAATTACACTGTATTTACTATTTTGGCCCAATCACTTATCCCTCATTCTTGAACAGCTTTGAGAAGGAAGTTTATAATTTTACACTATTCTTGAGAAGCCTGCTTGATTAATAAAGTAAGAAGGAAGAGTTCAGCTTGGAACCTCCTGGGCTGATTCTTTTAGATTTGCTGACTGAAAAGGCACATTTTAGGCTGGTCTCCCCAGGAGGTATGATTAGCAGGAAGGGGTCAGCAAGTTTTTCTGTAAAAGGCCACATAGTAAATACTTAAGCTTTACAAGTCACATTCCACTTCTGTCACAGATTCTTTATTATGTGTTCTGCTTTGTATTTTTTTAAAGATTTTGTATTTTTAAAAGATTTATTTATTTATGCAAACAGAACTGGGGTACAGACAGGCCAGAGATCTAACCACAGTGAGAGGAGTCACCAGAGACAGAGTGACGAGCAGAACAGGCTGACTGAGGAAGTGCACTGCTGAGGGGAGAAGCGGGCATGTCAGGAGAGGTCTACCGCGCCATGTGGGTCACCCCCTGGCCAGAGATTGAACTCGTGCTTTAGTGACTGCGGATAACTTCATAAAGGTGGTGCTACACTTTAACCTGCTGCGCACCAAGGAGGGCCCCTGTATTTTTTTAACAACCCCTTAAAACTGTACATCCCTTTTCAATCCGCAAGTCACACAAAAGCAAGCCACAGACCTGCTTTCACCACCCATGGCTAAGACAAAAAAAGAGAAGGGCGGTGTCTCATTCCCCCAAATTTGTGTTTTTAGCTTTTTATTTTGGTTTTGATGCTCTTGTGTGCTTTCTCTAAAAGCTAAGTAACTTTTATTTTCTTACATTATTGTTCATTTTTATACAATATCTCATTTCTCCCCTCAGGCACAATCCCCATAATCTCTCCACCACTGCAATACTCATGAATCACGATCACCAGAGTCCCTTGTGCTCTTTCCGCCACTGTTTTGATCCCTCTCCTTCCCCCTCCTCTGCAGGTTCCCCCAAATGTGTTAAGTAGCACAAAGGCAGAGCAATCTGCTCAGCTCTTAGGGGGAGTCAAAACAATTTCACTACTTAGTGGGAGCCGCTTCAAAATCTTTGCCTATCATTAATCCATCACAGTTTACCCTTTTATTAAAAATGTTTTACATCCCCTTTATATGAAGACCATGTAGACCTTCTAGAGTGCAATGTCAATCTTGAAATCCAGTATCAGCTCCAAAGGCCAATCTGATGCTTTGGAACAGGTTCTTTTGATAAGAACCTTTTTCCTTTGGCTAAGTGCTCACTCACAGACAGGCACTCTAAGACGCAGAAGCTGTCCCTCCCCAGGGACACTCCCTGCCCTGCACAGGCCCCCTGAGGCCTCCCGTGCTGTGCCAGGGACTTCAGACCTCTCACTATCACCAGCGCCAACCCAACTTTACTGAAAGGGAGTATCTGCTGAGGTTTTCTGTCACCATTATGAAGTGAATTACTGGGATAATTGATCTTTTTAGTACCCAGGCTGCCAGTACCCAAAAAGTGCCACACCTAAACACCTGCACCTGAAGAAACTGCTTAAAGGAGTCATGTTCGCTTTTGGAGCTGATGCAGACCACAAGATACCGGCTTTTGAGATTGACACTGTACTCTACAAGGTCTACATGTTCTTGAGTGGGGGTGGGGGGCACAGAACTCATTTGTGACAAAAGAGTGAACTGTGGTGGATTAGTGATAGCCACAGTCTTTGCAGCTACTTCCACTAAATGGTGAAATTGTTCTCTCTTACCCTAAAGCTGGGCTGGCATTGTGCCTTGCCTAGAACAGAAAAAAAATAAATAAAGGCAAAAAACTGATACTGTGCAAAGTGGAGACCTAGCCTTGAAGAGGATGGAAGCTTCTAGTTTTGCCCTTTTCAAGACCAGCTGCCACGCTAAAGGGTGAGCACTACTGGGAGTGTTCCAGACGAGTGCCCGGTTGAAGGCAGCTGTGTGGATGACCTCCAGATGACTCATGGAGGTGAAGAGAGACCCAGCTGAGTCAAGTCAACCCACAAAACCATGAGAAACATGTTTTCGTAAACCACTATGTTGGCATGATTTGTTGCATAGCAATTTACAGTTGAACATAACTGTGTATATTAAGAATATAAAACCATGGATGTGGTGGGAATCTGAGAAGATATGATCCTATTTCCCTTAATCAATTAAGTTCTGTAAACCAGTGTTATCTCTATTAAGAAAAGAACTACACAGAAATTTTAGAGCTGGAGAATATAGTCATTTATTGACAGGGGAACAATAAGAAATGAGTTAATAGTTGATTTCATTGTTGTACACATGTACTATAATGGAATATTATTCAACCATTAAAAAGGTTATCTTCCACTTATGACAATATGGATGGACTTGAGAGCATTATGCTAAGCAAAGTAAACACAAATGTGATCCATTTATACATAGAATCTAAAAATATCAAACTTCAAGAAACATAGAGTGGTGGTTGCCAAGGAATAAATGATGGGGATGCTGAGGAGATGCTGGTCAAAGGGTACAAACTTACATTTGCAAGAAAAAAAACTATAAAACCATTAGTGGGGAAAATAAACACTAACCTATGTATAATGTTTATTTTGAGAGAGTGATAAGGGGATGGGATGGAATGGGACAGAAGGAACTAGTTCTACAATATTAGTTGTCCTGTTTCAAAATAGGACCTCGCAATATATGGTAAATATTAAGTTATAGATTGGGGAGATACATATAGATATAGATATATAGATATATATACACACATGCATACACATATATAAACATAACTATATACACATTTACATGTGTGCTATATAGTAGATATATAAATTTGAAATACTTCACAATCAAAAATTTTTTCATTTAATTTAATTTTTTGTTAAGTTTCTTGAAATAACATTGGTTCATAACACTGTATATATTTTAAGGATATAGGGCCATACCTATATAAATGTATGTTACTATGCATGCCCACCACCAAACTCCCAAAAATCCACCATTGGGCCCCTCCACCTATGCAAAGAACCTAGAAATAATCAAACTAATAAAACTAGACTCCTCAGAACACTGGCATTCTTAATATGATTTAGAAATTTGGGCTGTTTCTGCCCAAGATCCCTGGGCATGATGTTCATAACATATACTGTTCATAAACATTTTGAAAGCTTTTTTATTTTCTCTCCATCTCCCCTTTCAATGATATCAAAGCCTCATCTCTTCTCTTTTATCCTTATTATTTTTAGTTCTATATTTACCTTTCTGCCCTTAAGTGTCTGAAAATAATTCCCAAGTAATTCTAAAGCAACTCCAAACATGCAAAACATGTATCCCCTCCTCAGCCTCCAGCTGTCACAGACAGCAAGGAGAAATGATTTGCATTACCTGGTATTTGTTAGTTTGGGATAACTTGTGGACTCCATTAATCACTACAACATGTCATCAATTGCTACTTTGATTCATCATATGTAACAAAACCAGAGTCCACCACGGTGGTTATGACAAAGAAGAAAGCATGGTAAAATTCAATTCTGAACTCATTCACAGGACTCAAGACTAGACAAACATAAATTATATTGTTTATAAGATCTTTACATCTGAACTGAGTAACTTAGGTGTTCTATGTTAGCCAATATCATCATAATATAGGATGGGATTTTGTTCAACTCATTGCTTTCAAATGAGTCTAATTTAAATCCTCCAGGTGTGATTGTTTATCATTTTAGGATTTACTATAATAGTCATTTGTTTTAGACTGAACTGAATTTCACTGAAACTGTTACACATTAAAATTGTCTCTTAAGGCCCTCCCTGGTGGCACAGCGGGTTAAAGCACAGCACTGAGAATCTAAAGCTGCTTCCGCATGAGTTCGATTCCCGCCTGCCCCGGAGGTGACCACATGGCGTGGCAGACCTCTCCTGACCCGCCCGCTGTTCCCCTCAGCAGTGTACTTCGTCAATCTGCCTGTTCTGTTCTTCACTCCATCTCTGGTGAAGCCTCTCACCACCCCTGAGCCTCTGGCCTGTACCCCAGTTCTGTATGCACAAATAAATAAATCTTTAAAAATTGTCTCTTAAATGTTTTCAAAAGATGGAACCAAAATCACACTAATGTAAAAAAAAAAAAAACTTCATTTTTATTAAAAAAAAATCATAGAATCACACACATTTAAAACCCAATGGCACAGAAGGCAAAGGAGACAGAAAAATGCCAGCATTCTCAGTTTCTCCTTTCCCTTCAGATCACTAAATGTAGATATCACTAAGTCAAAAACCTCAATTCATCTCTGTACACAGCCAGGAAAAATAAAAGAAAGAACTTTGTTCTAGAATGTTCTTTCTAACAGCCCCTACAGATGATCTGTGACATAAAAACCTTGACTTGCCCAAGAATCTCCCACCAACTGGGGCAACTTTTTTCATTCCTATTAGATTTTTAGCAACTTAACTATCCAAGACCTAGTTTTCACTTATGTTCATTCATTATTTGAAGAAAACTGGAATTTTTCGCAAGATAAGAAATGACCCACACTGCAGAGCTTGAATTTCAGAAATGCACCAATAAACTAGTACCATACCTCTAGTGTGTGGCACTTGCCACGAATTCTGTTACAAAGAAGTTGGTAGTTCTCCAGCACATCATTCAGTTCAGATGTCAATTCTTGGCCACCAGAGGGCACTTTTGCAGCTAATAACTTGATGTTGTCCTTGAGAATCTTCACTCTCACCTCCTTCTGTAACACGTCCTCTTTCGCCCTCTGTTCCAAGACAAGATGAACATTAATTCATCTCTCCTTCTCAGTAATCACTTTCCTTACTATATTTAAAAATAACTCAACCAAAATAAAGACATCTAGGAGATTCTAACTACCTACTTGGGACATTCTGTAGGTAATCAATAAAGAGTGCTTTTGATTGCTGACCATAAAATCTCACCACTCTATGCCTTAATGTACAGAATTCCAGACACACATTTTCACTTAATAACAACAATTCCAATACCTAAGTTATGATTGCTAATATTAAGTATTTTCAGAGTCTGAGTCCATGATAATAATCTAAGTGAATTAATTTTAATTAACCACTGGAGGTTTACAAATATTGGAATGAAATAAATGAATTTTCACAAAAACTGAAGTGCAAAATGGTAAAAGTATTATTTATAAACAATACAAACATTTTTTTTTTTCCTCCTGAAACACAGACACACATTTCATCCCAAGAATTAACAGCATTTCAAACAGGACAGTGATTTGCTGGGAAGATCTTATCAAAGAAAAAACTTTCATTGACTGTCCTCCTGCTTAAAATTCAGAAAAATCAACCTAAAACACTCTTCCACTCTCCCTTTGTACTGTCTTTACTGCTTCATGGTTTTAAATTTCCCTAGGGTGGGGTTAAATAATTATTTATAGTGGTTTTTAAAATCCTAGTGGTTGTTTAGAAGAATAAAAATAAATAGAACGCTACCCAATCAAGAATCATTCTTCTAAGTAATCATTCTTCTAAACACTAGTAACTTAAGAAACCACAAAACTACAATGCCCATAGTGTTATGGAAGAGAATAAATGAAATAAGGTCATTCTGAACATAGTAGGCTACCTTGAAATATATCGCATACAGAATATTTTTAAAGTTTGCCCTAAAGCTGCATTAAAAAAAAAAAAAAAGATTTCCAATGGAAATACCTGAACTAAAATTAAAAGTTCTTTGTCATATTTACTTTGATTCATTTGTAATAACACATGGATGAAATGTAATCCTTTTCTTAATATCTGCACAAAGAGTTTTGCTTCAGTTACACCTCTAGGAAGTTAACTTTGGGCAAAACATTCACTGTGTGGCTTAATCTTAAAAATAAAAAGCCTCTAAATACTCTCTCTTTTGTCTTGAACAATGAAGGACATCTAAAGCAAAGTTACAAATCTGGGAATAATTCCCAGTTCCTTTATTATATAAAAAAGACTGTTCAGACTTTTGACACCGAAGTTTATGGGAAACATAACCTGTGGGTTCCACTGATTCCCAATCTTTCTCTGCTGCCATTCCTAATGCTTCTTTTATCTCCTTTTAAAAAACTGGGGCATTCACGTGTGTCCCAAGCAGTAGGTAGCAGAGTACACATGACAAAGTAAGGAGAAACACCAACTGAAATGGGAAGTCTCTCTTGTTCCTTACAAAAAATAATTCCTCCTGAAAAATGCTGGAAGTCGTGGTGAAGGTTGTACCACAATTAATGTTGCTGAATTGGGGGATCATTCTCCATGGCTCTTCAAGATTCAGAGGTGCTCATGGACCAGACTCGTGGACCAGGTTGAACAAGTGGTAACTCAGCTTCCCCTCAAAAACACAGAAGCTACCCCACCCACACACACTCTTTTATTTTGATTTGAAATCTTACTGCAAAGGATTATTTGGACACATGATGCTTTAGAGCGAGCTAGGTCACTTGATGGGTGACTGATTGGTGAAGAATAACTTTTACAGGCAGCAGGAGGGGAGATACAAGCTGACTGATACCATGTGTTCCAATCTCACCTTCATCTCTTCCACTGCGCTCTCAAGTTCTTCCGGTGATTTGTACTCAAAATCCCGCTCCAAGTACTCTTCCTCGGCCTGGGCCATCCATTCCTGCATCTCCGCCAAGTCTTTCTTCAGGTTTACTGCTTTTTCCTGACTTTCAGACAGCCTACTTTTTTGAGTAGCAATCTGGAAAGGAAATGATTCACCCAAATAAGCAAAGCTACTGTCAAGTTCTAGTTTCTAATATCTAAAGACACAGTGATAATTCCAAAGTGTCTGAAAATTCAGTGAAGACCCATTACATAATGTGTACTGATGCTGTGGGCTACCATACAGAAAACAATAATTGTAATTGAATTCTATAAGACTCTAATTCTGAAGTATTATAACTTAGAAGTACTCTAATTTGGAAAATGTATATCTTTGGACAGAGAAATGAAGGACTATCGCTAACGCAATAAAAGCATAGATCTCATAAATTTATGCAAGCATTGTTTATTATGGAAAAAGTAACCTGAAGTAACCAAAAGATCTATTTTCTCTTTTTTAACAGAATTTCCCATTAAGACCACTTTGAAAATCAGAGAAGAAAAGGCTATTGTTAAAGATTCTCATAGAACGCAAAATTTTGATTTTGATGATACACCTGTCCATTCCATACACAAAAAGTTAGAAAACAGGTGTTTCACTGAATCTGGCTCAATGACTTAGTTATGTGCTTCAGAGAAGCCTAAAAAGGTTTATAATGATCATATACATATCTGAATTTGCAATCTATGCACCATTTGCATTGAATGGCATTAATGAGTACACTCAAGTAAAGGGATACCAGTTACAGAGCTGCATGAATGCTCCAGCCACATTTCCCCCTGAGAATAATTTCTAGTAATAAAAACCATTAAATTCTTTAGTGACAAAGACTTGACTTGCATTTTTGGAGTTCACAAGTAATGGTGTGTGGCTGAGTGGGGACTGGGACTTTGACATTGCAATTCTTTAATAAAACTGAATTAAGATGTTGGAATGTTACCACCTGTCTTCCTGGCTCTTTATTTCTCCTTAAACAATAGAAGCAAGATGCACATACAGGGATATAGGCATATACAAACAGAGGGATAAATCAATGAAGAAATGACCAAAAATAAGAAATAGTTCCATGAATTAGAATGTCCCAGTACAAATTCCACTCAACCCCAGTTATTTCTCTCTCATAGAAAAACAAAAGGAAAACGAAATAAAAGATGGGGAAAACTCCACTCCAGAGCCCTCCCTTGGTGACACAATGGGTTAAAGCACAGCATTATGAAGCTATCCACAGCCACTGCAGGATGGGCTTGATCCTGGGCCAGGGGGGTGACCCACATGGCACAGCAGACCTCTCCTGTCTCACTCACTGCTCCCCTAAACAGTGCACTTCATCAATCTGCCTGTCTGCTCCTCACTCAGTCTCTGATGAATCCTCTCACCCCCCACATATCTGGCCTTTACCCCAGTTCTATATGCATAACTAACCTTAAAAAAAAAATATTCCACTTCAACTCAACCAACCTTGGGTGAAATGACGCAGTCTGACAAGGTAAATCAAAAATGGAGTCAGGGAGCCATGACTCTGGGGTGAGGCACCCCAATTAGCAATACTAGGGCTTGCTATGTTGTCTCCAGCCAAAGGTTAGAATATTGTGTATTATCACATGTGGGTTTTCCATTTCTACTTAAGACAGTAAAAGAGACAAGCTGGATGTCCCACTGGTGAGACAACTGAGCAAAGGCAATTGCTTTACGTCTTTTTGATTGTCAGAAAGTGCACTGCCCATCCTGAGGTTGTCATTGACTTAAAATATAAAGAACAGAAAACAGGTGTCTTATCTGAATCTGGATCTTTGACTTAGATATGTCTTTCAGAGAAGCCTGAAGGTATTTTCAGAGCGCCCCCTCGCTGCCACCTGATCTCCACCAGGAGAGGGGTGATGCCCCAGGGTGTCCGCAACCTGTCAGTATCCACCACCACTCAAGCTCTGTGGCACAGGAGGTCACATGCCGGGGCCTGCCTGGCTGCACAGATGCCAGTGATGAAAAGCCAGAGCAGCACAGACTAGCTCTCTCCAGAGGAAGGGAGAACATGCAGTGGCTTTCCTGTCACCACTTTCCAAACAGGACTACAAAAATAGATGGAGCTTTGATTCCACGGCCCCGTCCTGCCCCCAGAATCTAGGAATCTGTTGCCAACAATGTACTCAATCCTACATCTGTCTGGCCAGAAGTTTAATCTGGTGAGTGTCTCAAAAATATTAGAAGACAGAAATCAGATGGGTGGACTGATGGCCAAAGAGACAAGAGAGATGGATGATTCCTGAGCCTCACTTCCAGAAAATTCTCTTTGCTAGCAGTTTCAGTACCATAATTTTCAAGAATACAATAAATGAAAAAAACAAAGATGCTGTGTCATCTTTGCAGCAATAAAAGAAATCTCAAAATTGTAAATAATTATCCTGAGATAATAATATATGCTCATTTAGGGCATGAAAGGGTCTTCCTTTTACGATATCATGGATATAACTGATGTACTGGAATGTTTGTTGATTGATTTTATGTCTGCATTCCTTCTAGGCAAACTAAAATTTGGGCAATGTTATGTTTACTGGAAATGTCTTCCATCTTTTTACTAACCAAAGAAAGAAACAGTCTGTAACTGCTTTGGGTAATTACATAACACATGGCCCCCTCCCTATTGAGGGAATTTTTTTTTTTTTTAAATCCCCATGTATTTATTTTCATGCAATCAATAATTCACAATTAATTCTATGTTGATGTATGTGTTTTGTGTATATATGTAGGTAGGCAGGTAGGTGGGTGCACAGATACAAATGTGCTGGTTAATAATTACAAAAACATCTCTTTGGATCCCATTTCCCTTTTCTCTGCTCCCTGGGTGGAGAATCTTTCCAAGTCTGTTACATTTAGTGTCCCACCTCCTTGCTCCTATTCTCTCAGCGTTCTCCAGTATAGCTCTGTTCCCCCACACTCCACTGGGGCTTCTTTTCTCCAGGCTACTGAGGTGCGTGGCCTGTCAGAGGAGGCCTGCCTCCAACTGCCTCACCACGGGGTACTGTGGTACAGGAAACTCCACTCCTGGGGGCCCTTCCTCTGGCCAAACTTTTCTCCTTGGCCTCCCAGGTCTCAGTCCCTCCTTTCTAGAGGGCTTAAAGAGCCCCATTTATATGTCTATCTAATATATGATCATTGTTATTGTGTATTAATTTTATTTAATAAAAATTATATAATAAATATGGGGAAGAAATAGGCAAAGCCATAATGGTTGAATTCACCCACTGAGATCTGGATCCAGCAAAAGAAGGCCCCTACCCGCCTCGCATGAAAATGCGCCTTCCCAGAAGGTGCTCCAAGGAGACAGTCTTACATGTGTGTTTTTGAGGCTCTTTCTGCTGCATATGTGACCAAACATAGGCAAAGCTGCTGTAAAACTTTTAGATTCGTGCAGGGCAGGAGGGGGAGATGTGCTGGTCTTTCAGCCAGGCCTACATCCTAAGTTCCCTCTTTTTTTTTTTTTTAAAGATTTATTTATTTATACATACAGAACTGGGGTACAGGCCAGAGATGCGGAGAGTGAGAGGATTCACCAGAGACAGAGTGGGGTGCAGAACAGGCAGATCGACGAAGTACACTGCTGAGGGGAGCAGCGGGCGGGTCAGGAGAGGTCTGCCACGCCATGCGGGTCAGGAGAGGTCTGCCACGCCATGTGGTCTCCTCCTGGGCAGGCGGGAATCGAACTCATGCGGAAGTGGCTTAAGCTTCTTTGTGCAGTGCTTTAACCCGCTGCGCCACCAGGGAGGGCCAAGTTCCCTCTTTTACTAAAAACTGTTGGAGTATTCTGGAGTAACCGCTTGTTTCTTTGCTCTGTCCCTGCCTTCTGTGTGGGGCTGGTTTCAGATTACAGCAGGAAAGCATTAGCATTGCATTAATCTCCATCTTAACTCTTCAAGAATGGAAATCAACAGTTCACCTGCTCCCTCCCCACTGCCCAAGTCTTTGCAATTTCAGGAAAGAGCAGACAATTCATGCAAAGTGGAAACTTTGCAAACATATCCTTTAGCTGGTATTCAGTCTGTTATTAGATACTCATTTTTACTTGCAAAATATAGTTCCAACCTAAAATTTGAAACCTGTGATGCTGATCATAACCTCCCCATTACCTCCCCAGTCCAAGAAGTCATCCTCATTCTCTACCATTACAGTTACCTCTAAAATAATATCCATGTATCCACTCTTGCCTTTCAGAGAAGATTATCCACATGGAAGCAAGAGTGATCTTAAAAGATCTAAAAAGTGTCATTTCCCTCCTCAAATCCCTCAGCTTTCCACACGGAATCATACATAAAATGAAACTGAACATCTTTGCTTCAAAGATATACACCATACAGTCCCACCTACCTTGCCACCTCAACTCTTACTCTCCACAACCCACTAACTCCTCTTTTTTCTATTCCAGCTTCACTGACTTTCTTTTTTTTTTAAGATTTATTTATTTATTCATTCATACAGAACTGAGGTACAGGCCAGAGGTGCAGGGGTAGTGAGAGATTCACCAGAGACAGAGCGGGGAGCAGAACAGGCAGATCTAGGAAGTACACTGCTGAGGGGAGCAGTGAGTAGAACAGAGAGGTCTACCTCACCATGTGGGTCACCTCCGGGGCATGGTGGGGACTGAACTCATGCTTAAGTGGCTTTAGCTTCTTGGTGCTGTGCTTTAACCTGCTGTGCCACCATTCTTTATTTTTTAAACAATAATTTTATTTACTTATGTATACAATAACTGGAGTGTAGGCCAGAGGTGTTGTGGGATGAGATGACTCACCAGAGTCAGAGTGGAGAGCAGAACAGATAGGTTCACTGAAACATCCTGCTGAGAGGAGCAGTGGGCAGGACAGGAGAGGTCTGCTGCACCTTGTGGGTCACCTCCCTGGCTGGGGATCGAACATGGGCTTCAGTGGCTGCCCACAGCGTCATAGCACTGAGACATTGACCCCTGCACCGTCAGGGAGGCCTTGACTTTCTCGTTCTTTATTAAATACACCAAGCTTGTTTCCATCAAAGATCCAAAATGAGCAATTTGTTCCCCCCCCTTAATTAAAAAGGAATAATGATATATTTCTTGACCCAACCTGCCATACACTTTAGACTGCTAGTTTTGAGTCTGGATGGAATTTAGTTGGTCAAGAAAAGGCATAATGTACCTTCTAAAAACTCCTGACAGAGATGTTCAAAAACTCACCTCCTTGCTTAATCTCTCCAGTTGGGTTTGATATTCAACTAGTTTTGTGTGCACCCAGCCTTTGATTCCAGCAAAAGGACAACTTTGGAGGTTAGCCTCTATGTCTTTCATGTCTTTCATTGATGACTCCATTGTTTCTATTTCATTAACAAAGGCCTGAACATAAAAATAAACCCATATTGAGTTCATTCCCATACAAGCGGATGCCATTGTTACAGCTGGCCTGCTGTATCCCTCCCTGCAAGTATTGTAAGAACAGAGTCAGGACTTTCAACTTCTTAAGCAGTACTATTTCTTAGGAAATTCATTTCACCTGGGCTCTTCATAGAGCCATCTGCCAAATTAGATTGGAAATACTTGTCTCTCAGCAGGGAACAGTACTTTTAATTAATTTAGAGAAGCCTAATGATTTCACCAAATAGAAATTGCATGCAGTATTACTGGCAGATTTCAACTGTTAAATATGTTTTCCATATAGCCTCACCGTATGGCATAGTAGAGAGCAATATGCAATTGGTGGTAATGACACTAAGATTGTTACTTTAAGGTAAAATAACAAGCCCTATATACTAAAATTGCTCTTGTTCTCTCTATCCAAAAATGCTATAACCATGGCCAAAAATAAAAATAGGAATACTATAATCTGTCATTCTTTTATTAACTATCAAGTCAAAAAAAAAAAGGTTTATGATGAAAGATACTTTAGCTAGGCTTATTGTCCTGTCATTGTGTCACAATTTTAATAACAGCAGCAAATAATAAAGATGATGAAGAAAACACTATTTATTATAGTAGTTCCCTAGATCAGCAGAACTCACAGAGCACTGGTCCAGCTGCCTTTGAAGTCCCTCGGCGTCTCCATGGATAGCCTGCTCCTTCATTAAGAAGTCTTTCACACCATCCATCCACTTCTCAATGGCTTTAGAATCAGCCTAAATCGAAGGCAGTAACAAAGGGGATATTACTCAGTGACATTCAACCTGCTCTATCTCAGGATCTATTGCTATTGGAAAAAGGCAACTTTTCAAAACTTTGATAGCATCATTTTCATTTATTTTATTTCTTTTTAAAAACTGCCAGCTCTGAAATAATGATTTTCTTTATTCTTGACTAAAGAGATGACAGTTTAGTGGTCATGCTAAATATCTCAAAATGCACCCCTGTAAACCAAGTTCTCTTGCTTAAATGTGAACACTATTTGTGGTTCAAGATTAAAATTTTAAGTAACAGGAAAATGCTTTTCTGGGTATAATCAGCTAAAAAAAAAACTTTTATTCTCATATAATGTGAAACAAATTTTCTCCAAAAAGTCACTACTCAGAGCAGGAATAAATAAATAGCATAGTGGAGAGAATACAATAGCTTTTTCTTAGTTCTTTTTCTGTGAATAAGGCTGAATGCCTTATTCTCTGAACACCCAGTAACTTTTTTTTAACCACTTTCTACTAAATTGAATCTCTGTTACTATGGATGGTGCTGGGGGTCAAAATCAAATGAGAGAGGAAACAATTTGCAAAGACAAACATATTTCAAAAAGGCAGTATACTGGAAGCGGGTCATAGAGGAGGAGAAAGATCCGAGTTGAGGTCCAATTTTAGAGTGAAGTGACAAGCATGGTTTTACAGGACCTTCCCTGTCTTTGTCTGACCAGTCTGATTTATTCATCTCCCTCGTACTGAGCTAAATGTTTCCCTGTACCTTCCATTCTCTGCTTCTAATTCATCCCTAGGAATGAAGATAAACATACTCTCCTGCTCAGAAAAGATCTTTAGATTTGGAAGCAGCCACTGTGCCTTCCCCTAGACTATTGGTTAAACATTCCCAATTCTTTTGGCAAGAGTTCTAGGCCACAAGAGCCAGGTGTTGCACTTACACTCTAATCAACATGATCAAGAAACTGTCTCAACTTTAAAAAAAAAAAAATTTAAAGATTTACTTATGCATATAGAACTGGGGTACAGGCCAGAGGTGCAGGGGCGGTGAGAGGATTCACCAGAGACAGAGTGGGGAGCAGAACAGGCCAACTGACGAAGTACACTGCTGAGGGGCACAGCAAGCAGGTCAGGAGAGGTCTGCCGCGCCATGTGGGTCGCCTCCACAGGGAGAGAGCTCATGCTGAAATGGCTTTAGCTTCTAACTGCTGTGCTTTAACCCGCTGCGCCACCGGGGAGGGCCATCCACTCTACACTTTTAAGTACAGAGGGCCACTCTGATCAAGATGGGGGAGAAGTGCTGCTTGGAGAGGCTTTTCTCCACCACTGTTCTACATCCAGGCCAGCAGCAAGCACGTCCTCATCCCTCATCTTCCCAACTTCAGAAGCCCTCTTACTCCCGCATCCTTCTGTTCTTTAACATACTGATCCCAAGAACTTGAATTCAAGGCAGCATTACTGTTGTATAACTGGGAAGTCTAGTTTGGGGTAAGAAAACTGAGAGCCTTTTAGACCAAGGATTTTTGATATTTATAGAGAAGCATTATATTCCAAGGAGATTCCATCAAACGCAGACTTAACTAAAGCATTCTCAACAATTCATTGCAATCATTGGTGTTAGAAGAGAAATTTTAGGACATCTACTCTTCTCCTTTCCTGCTTCTTTCCTCCCTCTCTGATGCACACAGACCCAGGTGAGACCCCTCAGCAACAGCGCCCTGGTGAATACCTGCCTACATCAGCATCCCTATACTACCTAATCTATGGTTACAATAATGTTTGCTTGAGCCTGTCTCTTTAAAAGTAACTGCTTAACCAGAAAGAGAAAGAAAAATACTGGATGGTTTCACTCATAGCAGGAGTATAATGGACCAGGCGAGAAAATAACAAAAATAATGAAACAACCATATACCAGAGACATTTTGCGGGGGTGGAGTGGGGAATGGGATCAAAAACGGGGGGGGGGGGGAGGATGCACGGGACTATGGTGTTGGCACAGGGGTGATTTGGTGATGGGAAACCCACGGGGATTACAATCGAGATGGAAAAAAAAATGTGCAAAATGATGTAAAAATAAACTTTTGTAATAATAATAATAAAAAAAAAAGTAACTGCTTAAAAGTAAATGAAGGAGGGCCCTCCCTGGTGGGCAGCTGGTTAGGATGCACTGCAAAGGAGCAGTGGCCCCCTCAGTGGAAATTCAATCCTGGCCCCATCCCCAACCCCATCCCTAGCCCAGGAGGTGATGATCCACAAGGGGTAGCAGACCTCTCCTGACCCGATGCTCCCCTCAGCAGTGTGCTTAGTCAATCTGCCTTTTCTGCTTTCCACTCTGTCTCTTGGGAATCCTTTCACCCCCCCTGCACCTCTGGTCTGTACCCCAGTTCTGTATGCATAAATAAATAAATATATTTTTTTAAATACTGAGACAAGACTTTTTATGCTGGGAAAGAGGAGATACCAGAGGGCAGGCAGAGCCCCTTTTCTGCACTTCGTGGCACACAGATGGTGGCTAGTACGGTCCTGTGTAGCCGGATACACTTTCCCGCACAGTGTTGCTGTAGGGTGGCTGCCCTGGGAGTAAGCTCCTACCCTGCATTCAGCCAGGTCTACTGAGAAATCTTCTAAGCAGTAGCTTTTTATTTACTTTTTAAAGCAATATAAAAAAGTACAAGTAAATTTCTAAAATAAATGCTTCGTCACTTCATATGCCAAACACACACACACACATACTATGCTGAGGCAACCATTTCTCATTACTTATGTTCACAAATTCTCAAGCAAATATAAAATGACCAACATGATAGTTTGCAAAGCCAAGTATCAAATATTATAGCTTGGAAGAGTCAGAATTCTGTATTTGGCTCACTGTGCTCAACAGCAATGGTTTGTAAGCATTTGGGTAGAGCAACACCTTACTCCGGGGTCACAGAAAAGGAATGTGGGGTCATTAACACTTTAACCCTACCCCTGTCACACCCCATCCACAGCCCAGACCCTGCACTAGGGACAGAGGTAATTTGAAGCTTCATAACTCAATGTAAAACAAAAAGATCCCAAGTTACACAGCTATCTCCAAGCCTTTGTTTACAGCTAAATTCTTAACATTTTCTTTTGCTCTTCCCCCATCTAGTGGAATGTCCACCACTTCTTAAGCAGTTATTTCTAATGTAAGAAATAAGGAGAACTGTGAAATCCAAACTGAAACCATAATTTAAAGTAATAAGGTTTCTATTTCATTTGGTTTTATAATATTCATCAACCTCAAAACACTCTTTAACAAGTGTTTCCTCATTTAGTGGGGAAGACTAAGGACAATCTTGCCACTACATTTACCTGAAATTCAGTTTTATTAAAGCTATGATTTAGAATACAACAATATCTCATTCTAAATGATGTAATGAAATGATTACATCAATTACACATTACCCCGGAAGAGTTCATTTTGCCCTTCGGGGGACAAAATCATCCTTGATTGAGAACAACTAATAATCCAAGCATTGGTTTAGTCTATAACCAAAAATTTTAGACTCACCAATAACAATAATTTGGGGTTTTATGGGTAGGAAAAACTACAAATAGAAAACTGATAAGGTCCACTCACAAAATTAAATGAGTCAAAAATCCAAAACTACACATAATACACTTCAAAATTACTAAATTATTCTAGTGAGATTTCAGTATAAAACTGTAGCTCACATATACACAAAACTACCTCCTTCCAGTCCTGCACCACACTCATTCTTCATTCTCCCACTGGTCATTCACTAAAACATTCCACTGGTCAAAAAGTTTCTCTTCAGCCCAGTGGTCACGGTGCTGGATCTCTTCACACTGATCTGTGCAATCTCCAGCTCTTTCTAACCACACGCTCGTGAGACTTTATTTTTAGAACACTGTTGTCAGAACTTGTCTTTATTTTCAAATTTTTCAGCAATTTATATTTTATATAAATTCTCTGGGATCTAACTACAATTGTCTGTACTTTTGTGTGTATACAAAAGCTGGATAGATAGGTAGGTAGTAAGACAGACAGACAGACACAGCAGAAAGGTACACACACATGCATAAATGTACTTTCTAAATCTAAATCTTGTATTACTAATATCACTTCATTCACTGAAAAATATTTATCGAGTGTCTTCTCTGTGCCAGGCAAGGTTCTAGAATCTGTCTATCTTGGGATGCACAAAGGCCACATAAGGAGGCAACGGGAGGCTAGAAAGCCACTAGGGAGTTTCCATTCGTTCTTCACGCAAACAGTTCCTATTCAATGGGGTGACCTGGAAAGAACGCTTCTCCATCTTTCACACAGGCAAAATGCTAAAATCCCGATTGTGTTATCTGACATTGACTTTTACCACTTCCTTTTTTAGGTCCCCACATTAAATCTTTCTATGGAACGTTATCACTAATTCGTCTATGAACATTTTAAGAAGGATCATGCTTCTGCATGTCTGTCCTTTGGATTACTATCTGTCCCAGTCTGATACTCTTAGTCAATGACCTCATTCAGATTTTCAACTGCAACCATGTAAAACCTGAAAAACTGTTTCAAACTCTCAGTCACCTGCAAAACCTCTACCACTCTAACCAAATCCCAGCCTTTATTTCCTGAAGGCTCTTCACACTGAAACATCACTTTGACCATGTTCAAGGATTCTCTTATCTTCAAGGTCCACATTGTCTCTACCAAGAAGCTTTTGTAAGACAAAAGGAAATAAATGTGCTCTCCAACATATTAAATATAAATAAAAATATATTTATATTTAATATATATAATAAAATAATATAAATAAATAAAATAAAAATATAAGTAAATAAAAATATAGAGCTAGAACAAATGCAAATAAAACTCTACCTATGTATCTGGCCTCTCATGATAATTACTATTTTCTATTGTAATAAACTTAAACACCTAGTAGTTTCAAATTTTTGACTTACCTCAAAAGTTCTGAGGCTAGGCATAATTTCTTCAAGAAGATGCAAATCTTTGGAAACTCTGACCCTTAGTTTGTTCCACTTTCCTTGAACATCATCAAATTCCTGCTTACACATCTTTTCTACCTCTGGTGTAACATTTTTCCCCAAAGTCTTTGTTTCTTCTGCAAGTTTATATAATGTGGGTTTTTGATTCTCAAGAAATGCATCAAAGGCCTGAAAAATAGTTTAATGTTAAAATTACACACAATAAGTTGTCTAGACAGATGTAATAATAGGGTACATCAATGTCAAATGTCACTTTTAAAACCTGTTTATATATTGGACGGGAATTCAATGTAGTATACTGATGTTGATATATAATGAGGCATACCTGAAAATTATATAATATTATAATACAATATTAATTCAATTTTAAAATTAACTAAAATATATTTGATAGATAGGAAAGACTGATGAAAAATAAGCATGATCTAAAAAGTAAGTTTTCTTTCTAATCTATGAAACAGCCATATATTCAACACAGAAAAAGAACACCTCAGTTCAACCGATAGTCTTCATTTTACTAAACAAGTATTAAGAGATTATTAACAGGTTGAAAATGCCAGGCTAACTATAATAGAAGGGGAAAATACGCATTTATTCTATTTAAAAATTTATAACTTTGCTACATTTTGTGATATGATGTACAGTAACTACAGTCACTAACCTTCACATTAAAAAGAATTTGTTGACTGATCTTGGCCCAAAAACTGACCAATATTATTTGAAAGTTTGAAAAAATTTAAATTCAAAGTATTTGCAATGCATTCTTAAAAATGACTGCAGGCCCTCCCTGGTGGCACAGCGGGTTAAAGCACAGCACTAAGAAGCCAAAGCCACTTCTGCATGAGTTCTAACCCCCTGCCCCGGAGGTGAAGACATGGCGCATCAGACCTCTCCTGACCGCCTGCTGCTCCTCTCAACAGTATACTTCATCGATCTACCTGTCCTGCTCCCCACTCTGTCTCTGGTGAAGCCTCTCACCGCCCCTGCCTGCACCTCTGGACTGTACCCCAGTTCTGTATGCGCCAACAAAATAAATCTTAAAAAAATGACTCCAGCCTACTAAAGCCAAATACATGTTACCTTTCTTTCTTGCAGGGCTTCCTCTACCTTTGCAAGGTCATTCAAGGCACTCAAAGATGTCTGAGCCTTGTTTTCTGAATCATGTAGCAAATTCCTTAATGTTTTCAGTGTTTCCAAGTATGCATGTCCAGGGTGGTTCTTCAGCTCTGTTTATTTAAAAATATTTACTTTAAGAAAAAATAATGTTATGAACCTGCTATTATATATGCCATTCGTTCTACATATAAGTGAATTCTAATAGGAGTGAAGTCAAACTCCATCATCTAAATTTAAAAAAGGTCTCCGTTAGCTATCATAGCAAATCCTCCCCCGGTCTTTCTGCGAGCCGTTGACTTCAGTTCTGTGCATGCCAATGTTTGAAGTCATCCAGTAATTCACTTTTTTTTTTCTTTATTTCATCTCATCTCCCTGAAGGAGATATACAATGTTCTCTTTGTCCATGGAACCTCTTGGTCCCCGATAAAGAGAACAAAGGTCCACTGAACCAGCCTTCCGCTAATCTCAAGCCTGTGACCAAACTGTCATCTCCCGAGAGGCAGAGAGGACCCAGGAACACCACAGCTATCCCAGACCTCAGAGACAGGCTACAGGCCAGATGCAACATCTCTTCCAGTCCCTGTCACCCAAGTCACAAACAAGCAACCTTGTGGGGAAAGGAAGGAAGCTCTTTTGAAGCAGGAACAGGTAAATAGGACAAGCAACAAAAGAAACGAAACTAGTAGCATCAGTTGCAATAACCAGAAGGTGGACACAATTCAAGTTTCCATTGACATATGACTGGACTAACAGAATGTGGAATATTCATAGGTTGGAAATTTATTCAGCCCTAGAGAAAAAAAAATAAAAGGAAATACTGACACTGCTACCATATGGACAAACTTTGGGGTGTTGTACTAAATGAAATAAGTCAATAATCGAAAAAAATCTATAATTCTACTTAAATCTGACATCTGGAACAGCAAAATTCATAGACGGAAAAATTAGAATGGTGGGTATCTGGGACTGGAATTTAGGGGGAAATGGAGAGTTGCTGTTTAATGGGGACAGTTGCAACTTTACAAGATGAGAAAGATCTGGAGTTTGTACTACAGTATGTGTACATTCCACACTGCTGAACTCTGTGCTGATAAGTGGTTAAAATGGTAAATGCAGGCTCTGTTTTGTGGTGCAGTGGCTTAAAGCACCACATTATGAAGCTCTCTGAAACCACTGCAGCACGAGTTTGATTCCCAGTCCGGGAGCTGACCCACATGGCATGGCAGACCTCTCCTGGCCCACCACTGCTCCGCTCAGCAGTGAATTTCAGAAGATCTGCCTGTCCTGCTCCCCATTCTGTCTCTGGTGAGTCTTCTCACCCCCCATACCTCTGGCCTGTACCCCAAGTTCTGTAAGCATAAATAAATAAATCTTTTTTTTAAAAAAATGGTAAATGCTTTGTGATTCTCACAACAATTAAAAACAAAATAATTTTTTTAAACTTTAAAGATAAGAAACTAAATATTCTCAAAGTGGCTATTGATTTTTGTCAAAACTGAAAGTATATTTTAGGCCAGTAAGTTGAAAAGCGGTACTTGCAGAACATTTCGCAATTGACGAGCAAAAGTATGGTGTCCAAATGCCTTTCCAAGACGAAAAGAAGCCTAACCCATGTGCCTACCATGTACACACAGAGATTCCCACCAGCCATTACATAATCCGTTTTCGCAGTAAGGGTATGGTTAAATATACAGCTTTTCAACATGCACTACCTAGAATATTACATAACACAATACAACTCCAGAATTATACAATGGCTAAGAGCTAAAAACGCATAACATATGAGGCATGAGGTTCCAAACACTTTCATTTAACTCTCTAAAACTATATTTATTCCAAAAGTAAAAGCTCGTTTAGTTTCCCAAACATTGAAAGAGGAGTATAAGTTGTTTTAAAAGAAGATCTTGCTACATTTAAACCATTTTGAGTAAGCAAAATTAAGTGGTCATTCATTTTTACCCTTCTAGTAAAAATATTAACTGACCTCCTTGAATGAAAGGGGAAAATAATACCCTTAAACAAAACCTCTCTAAAAATCTGCCTACCCCATTAATATGATTTTAAAACTGGTGGAAGGTGTTTGCAATTTATACACATGCATGAATCCAGGAAATAGTCTGACTCTAACACTGGAACAACACCAACACAGGAGAACAGAGAGTTGGACTGTTGCAAAACAAGTAATGTACCAAATATTAGGAAGCAGTTTTTAAATTAAGGCAAGCTGAGAGATATTGAAATACTTCAAGAGAAAGTGAAGCGAGTGGGTTTACCATCCTTCAGCTGTTGCTGACAGTCCTCTAAATCCTGCCGCACTGCTTGGTAGTGGCCCAGAAAGCTGTCAAAAGCCTGCTGAACTGACTCAGGGGCGGAAGGCTGAGACCTCAGGGCTGCACAGCTTGCACGTAGTGCTTCAATTTGGGGCTGGAGGCCGAGGATATGAGTCAATTCCCGCTGGGGAAGAGAAAATAGTCACAGGATTCGCTGGTGACATGAACCTCCTCACAGAATGCTCAGAAGAACAGAATTCGCCCAAAGTTCATGCTACACATAGTGGCTTAAATGCCGGGCTGGACACGGAGTTGAGTCATGTTCCGGATGGTGGGCTCCTTACCTGGCAGGAGTCCTGCGTGCGGGGCCAGGACTGTGGGGGACAGCCTGCCAAGGAAGCCGACTGAGGCCACTGCTTTGGCCTGATGGTTTTCTCAAGCTCGTCAAGTTGTCCAAAGTAGACAGTGAGGTCTTCTTGTAGCTGAATCTTCCTTGCCACTTCTTCCAACTGCTGAGATACAGCCTTCCACTCTGACAGTATCTTCTCCAGAACACTTCTTATTTCTTCAGTAGGAAGACCTTCTACACAACGATGAAGAATAAGCCAGGTATTAATAAAACTAGTCTGGGGTTCCTTGTAGACATGCTGATGTATTCAAAAGTGAGGCCATGCCAAATCTAATGACCCTAAGGCCCTTTGGACACAACCACAAAAAAAAATTATAATGATGCACTTGAAGTAACTATGTTTAACTCCTCAAACACAGTAGGGGGAGAGTTGAGGTTCCCACGTCAGGAGTGGTCTGATGTGGCAAGGCACAGCCGAAGGGAATCGGCCACTGCTTTTCTGTAGAATGTGTTTCCATTCTGGACATGCTGCTACTCTACCAGCTTCTGGTCTATGTCAGAGATGGTGAACGGACAATCTGGACTCATCTGGATTCTGGCATCAGAAGGTGCATGCTCTTGCACCAGGTAAAGTGACAGCTGAATAGTAAACTAGGAGGGGGCTCAAGGTTTTGGTGACCAAACCAGAGTGCTGTGACTTGCAAAATGGTTGACAAGAATCCCTGGTGCTGGGAGCACCCTGGCGAGTGGGTGAAGGGCCATCAACCTCACCCCCAGGCCACACCACCAGCAAGTGTACCAGGCAGAGACCTCATCTGCCCAAGGGTCACTGCAGCAGCTGTAGCACATCAGAACAAACGTGCCACATTTATTACTGACATCCTACAAGTTAATTTTATAGTGCGAACATTACAATGGTGGGCGTTTTTTTGTACGTTACCTGCTCAGAATTTATTTCTCATATATAAATTTTGTCTCATATTTGTGAAAGTAGACAATGCTCATAGAAATAAGTTTTATATGTGTCCACATACAAGTTTACATATTCACATGTGTAGATTGAAGTATTTATGTATTACATAGTACATATTCTAAAATGTAGTGTGTATGATACAGGAATACAATATATATACATTATAGACCTTATATATATAAAATAAGCTTTACCATGGTCCTTCCTTAGCATAAAATACCATCAAATCTTTCACTACTACCAAAAATAATGCCAGTAAATCTTTTAAAATTACTAAGAGGAAGTATCATCATTACTAAGAAAGTAGATTCTTAACACAACTAAGAAAAATCTACAAGCATCCTGGAAAGGGATCTTTTCCCCCAATGAGCATCATGCATGCAAATGATGGACTGAACATCTTGATTATCAGAGGAGAAGTACAACAAAGCGATTGTGTTTTGTAAACATATGGGAAAATTCCAGGGTAATGAGAACTTTAAAAATGGTATGCAAAACAAAAGGCCACATATGAACCACAGATGGTGTATTTTTAATTTGCTGTATCACCCTGTATTCTAGGAAAATTAGAAATGCAAACAGGGCAACACACAACTGGAATATATCACCATGTCAGCTGCTGAAGTTCACTGTCTACCATCACACAGATGATGGCGTAACAGACACGGGGTAAACACGTACCCCACATTCCAAGTTTAATTACTCCTTAATGGGCTCATAAACAAAACAAATCACCATTTTCCTGACAAGCCATATGAGTGATGGCTGTACTTCCGCAGGGTTACTTCTATTGAAAATGGACAAATAATAACATCAGCCACTTCATTTTCATGTCAGGGTAATTGATGCCAAATCAGGGAAAATTAAGATAGTAAATAAAATGTTTGAGGTGAAAGATAACCAATACTACCTAGAAAACAGGTAAGAGGTAGTCACTTTAGGTACTAGGGAAACTGAAGAAAATTCAAGTGCTTTTTGAGTCACTGACAAAAAATAAGTTCATGATCCATTCACTTTGCTCCTTCATTTCTCAAAATTTATTTTTCCCTCTACTTCACTTGTGAAGGTAGAGGAGGTGAGAGGATTCATGAGTGACAGAGAGAGGAGCAGAAGAGGCAGCTCTATTGAAATACACTGCTGAGGGGAGCAGCAGTTGAGATGGTAGAAGTCTGCTGCACCAGATGAGTCAGCTCCCTGGCCAAGGATTGAACTCATGTTGCAGTGGCTGCCCATAGCTTCGTAAATGCTAGACTTAATCCCTTATGCCACCAGAGAGGTCCTGCAGGCGAATACAGTTTGTGGTCATAATGAGCTTCTACTCACAAAGTCACTCCATGCAAGTGAGACCCCTTTCTATTACATTAGTTGATAAACCCCAGGAACAAGATAAGTTAAACCAAGAAAACCACAGTGGCATAACATCTGTGAAAGTCAAATCAAATTTTTAAAAACACTTTCATGCTATATGAGATATCACAACACTTAATTCAAATGCATTCGGCAGAAAAGTCCTATCAGACTTCACTGTAGCAGGATTTTTGAAGCAGTCTGAGAGGAAAACAATGACACAATTATTTGAACATGTTTTACTAATACATTTGGCTTTCTTATCTAATGGAGTGGAATTCTTTATCTGCCTCCTTACCTTAACAAATTCTGGCCAAATTATGTGCTGTAAAATAACTTCCTCTACATTAATGATCCATTAATTACAATATGGTTTACTTTAATTTGGGGTGGAAGGAGTGGAATGAAAGCCAGAGAGAATCATCCAGCTGTGCTTTCAATTCTGTTCAATATTTCTGACTTTACAACAGCCATAGGACGTAATATGTAATACTCTAAAGTAATATGTAATACTGTAAATGGAATGATGGATAAACTGGACAGAGGTTGGGGAGAATTTTAAAATATCACTTTTATTCTCTTATTAACAAAAGGCAGGTACTCCCTCAAAAATGAAAATATTAAAACAAGCAAACCCTGGTTAAATCCATGTCCTCCTTCCTAGTTATTCACCACACCCGAAAAAAAGGTAAGAAATTATGTCTTTTAAAATAAACAGAATTTGAAATAAATAAATAAAATACAAGTAGGTTCCTATAATAAATGTATTCCCATGCCTACCAACATCAAGAAAAATGATAATGCAAAACATCTGATTTCCTATAAATTAAACAACTGCACATTACATTACAAAATTCCTTTCTTTACAAAACAGTATAGATTCTCAATTATTTGCGTCTGATCTTGGGAAAGTAGCACGCATATGACCTCAGTTTCTAGAGAATACATTTTAGCAAAATGTGTAGCAAAAGCTACAGACAGCTCGCTCGTGAACTCTCACTTTCTAGAAGAGGAAGCAAAGAAACTAGAGTTCCTTGAATTCCCCTTAGGACACAGAACTAGAAAAGGCTACAGGAGATCCCACGTTCTCCTCTTTCCCAATTCACTGCTCCTCTCACCATAACATATCACCTCTCACCAACCCCTGCCCTTACTAGTCTTCCCCACCAGTCTGAGAACACTGATTTATACACCAGCTAAAGACACAGAAGGAGGGTGAATTTAGTATGGAGACTCACAACTCACATTCACACCAGAATGAGTCCCAAGCCAGCATGCTGAAGGAGAGGTGGAGAATCTGTGACTGTAATCACATAAATTCAACTCATATTAAATTACGGAAAGAATCTGCATGTCAAGAGGAATTCTGCAAAGTTTCTCTTTGTCCTGGGGTCTCTTCAAGCAAATATTTGAAGGGTAGTTCTCCCAGTGGAGTGCCACACCCAGGGTACCCAAGACTACATTTAATTAGGGTGGATCTTGAGTAGGAGGGCACAAGGAGGGAGGGAGGAAGGAAAAACATGAACTATACTGATATTCTATGGCAGTGGTACATTTGCACTATTTCTAAACAAGTGGGCATAAACTGGACACGTACATAGTTTGTGTATGTGTGTATACGTGTGTGTGCCTTGAGCATTTATAGAAAATAAGCTGACGTGGTTTTGTAAAGCATATGAAAAATGTTTTATTTTTTAAGTAGTTTTCTGGGTATGAAGGGGGATAATATTATCAAAAAAGGTGAGACTTCAAATTCTTCTCCAACAATGGATTTTAACTGTTCTGCTGAGGTATTACACCATTTTATTTAGATTCCCTGACCCTAGAAAACAAAACAACTTTGCTTTTATCCGTTTTAATTTAATCAGCTTCAACACAGAACTGCATTTGAAAGATTCTGCTGCCTATAAGAAAGTTTAAAAACCACTTTTCTAGCAAAAAAAAGTGTTACTGTTTTCAAATAAATATTTGATCAGTTAAACTTTAAATATTATTCCATCTAAGAAAACACTGGGGAGAGGAGGTTAATGGCAAAGGCCTTACCTTTTCCCATGTGCTCCAGAAGGATCTGTCCAGTTTGGCTGCATTCGTCCAGCCGAGGGCTTCTTTCTTTCTGCTCTTTCTCTAACCCCTGCAAATAAAGTCCCAATATACAAGTACTACAAACTTTCTTCTCAGTACAATGTTGATGCTATTTTATTTATAATGTCTAAAATTCACCCCATGTTCTTTTTAGGTGTTATAATCAGAGTTTATTTAATCCAGGCTATTCTTTAGAACTCCAGAGATGATAGATTTTAAAAGGGACATTCAACCCAACAATATAAAACTTCAATTTCTTTATAAGGGAAAACACTCCACAATCTCCAATTACTAACTAACTTTCAAATTAGTGATCACAGTATCAGAATCAAAACTAGAAAGCCCAAGTTATTTCATCGAGACTACTCAAGAAAAATCCCACTTCCTATTTCTATAGTAGGTAAACACAGGCACAAAAAAAAAAAAAAAGAAAGAAAGAAAAGAAAATTCAGCTATGCTAGTGTGATCCGCACAAACTTCAATGCCATAAAGTAAAACCATCATTTTTAATATCAATGATTAAGAAATACTAATAGACTTTAACAAACAAACAGCATTTATTTCTGTTAAACAATATATCAATGCAAAAAGTCACCATTAAACTGAGAAAAAATATCGCTTGCCCTACATAAACTGATTTTTACCACTTTTTATAGTCATGATAGACAAGACTAGGGATTCTCCGCCCAGATATTTATTCCTTATCACAAGGTATCCCTTCACTAAAACAAAGTTAAACCAATCTTTCCCATATTTTTTTTAAAAAAAATTAAGAGTGTAAAGCAATGATCAAGTTTTTTTTTTTTTTCATTTTACATTTTTGCCAGCCCCTTGGTATCTATTATGAACAGATAAATGAACTTTAAAAAAAGATTTATTTACTTATTCACACAGAACTGGGGTACAGGCCAGAGGCACAGGAGCAGTGAGAGGATTCATCAGAGACAGAGTGGGGAGCAGAACAGGCAGATCGACAAAGTACACTGCTGAGGGGAGCAGCGGGCGGGTCAGGAGAGGTCTGCCGCGCCATGTGGGTCACCTCTGGGGCCGGGGATCAAACTTGAACTGAAGCAGCTGAGGCTGGCTTGCAGTGTTGCACTTTAACTCACTGTTCCACCGGGGAAGGCCCTATAAATGAACTTTTAAACACTAAAGGAAAAGGTGGGCCTGCCGACCACACCTGACACAGACACACAACTGCTTCTGGCCATAACATTATTCCTGCATGATAGGGTAAGACTAAATTTATTAGTTTTGTTTGACTTGTTCCATTAAAGATCATTGTAACTTCCAGTTTTCTCTGCTACTTGAATGTTTTTGAATCTTGTTCTTTCGGCTCCTATTTCTAGCTCTCTCAGCTCCCTGTGCAGAGGACTCCGAGAAGGGCTTCCTGGTTTAGCCACTCCCACACTCTCCCTGACCGCAGTCACCTTCCCTCCTTAGGGAAGTCAAGAACTTCACTGAGTGCTTAAAATGCAGGGTTTAGTGGGGAATTATCCCCACTTTTAAGCAGCAGACATGTAAACAATGACATGAGTAAAGTAAGGGCTTTCACAGAGGTAAAGCAAAGCAATATGAAAGTCAAAGAATGAATCACTTAACTCTTCTAATGCAGAGAGGGCAAGTCAGCCACGCAGCTCAGAGGCTTAATAAAGCCTGAACACTTGCAGGAAGCAGGGGAGTGAGGAAGCAGGGAGTGAGGGAGGCGGGGCTCTTGGGTACATGGAGGAGTGACAGGTGGACAGGTGAGAGGTGGGACGAGGGTCACTGGAAGGCCTTGGGCACGATGACACATTTTGTCCTCATAACAACAGGAAATCATTAATTAATTACAAGCCTCAGAGCTACTTGATCAGATATGACTGCAGAACCCTAGGGCTATGAGAATTTAAGAAGGGAAAGATGAACCATGGCAAATACTGCAGAGAAACACCTTTAAGACACCAAAAATGCAGGGTTGGGATTTGGAAACCAACTGTAGACAGAGACCTCCATGTAAGAACTACATGTCATGTTGACAGGCGTGAGACATCAATCTCAACTTCCTCTACAACTATCCAAAATTGGCCTATCTACCCCAAATTCTCTCTCCAGCCTTAGCTTTCTGCTACTCTTCAAGGCGCACCTCACCTGAAACCAACAGAATATTTGCCCAAAGCATTACAACACATTTGCCCACCTCCCTGCCTCTGCTCAAGAGTCCCCTGACTCCAGGCTGCCCCTCTGGACACCCCCTCTGCAGACATCCCATACTCTTCCTAGTATGTCTTTTAATTACTGGCTCTTCTCTGAAGAGAATACAGGGAGAACATTTTTAGATATGAGATAGGTTGCTGCATTCAGAGAGCAAAACATATTGAGCACACACAAATTCATAAACTACTACGTACCTGATAAAGTTCTACTTAAGATTAAAAAAAAATAGAAATAACACTGGATCACCTTAAGAAGTATTCCTTCCAGGCCCTCCCTGGTGGTGCAGCAGGTTGGGACGCAGCAGGGTGTGGACTGCAAGCTGGCCACAACTGCTTCAGTGAGAGTTCGATCCCCGCCTGCCCCGGAGGTGACCACATGGCGTGGCAGACCTCTCCTGACCCATCCGCTGCTCCTCTCAGCAGTGTACTTTGTCAATCTGCCTGTTCTGCTCCCTGCTCTCTCTCTGGTGAAGCCTCTTGCCACCCCTGTACCTCTGGCTTGTACCCCAGCTCTGTATAAATAAATGAGTAAATCTTTAAAAAAAAAAAAAAGTATTCTTTTCTGTAGCTCTCAATGGTAAGTGAAGGAGGGGGAAGAAAACTTACGCCATGTACAGACCTGACACAGCCATCAAATCAATTCAAAATTTATTACAATCTTCTAAAAGCTACCTATATCTACATTAATTTTACAGGAAGTTCTCGGATCCCATCATATCTTTCTGCCAACAGCAAATATATCCTGATGAAATACTTTTTTTTCACTAGGCTATTTTTGTTTCATGTCTTACCTTCAACTTCTTTTTCATTTCTGCCGTCTCCTGCATCTTCTTATACTCTTTGATCTCCATGGCCTGAATGGCACTCTTTGATTTCAAAATCCAGCTCAACAGCTCTGCACTTACAGCATCAAACCTGATTTAAGATTTAGATGTTAGCATGTGTCATTCATTTTCTTCTATTGTTTCTCTTGGCTCAAGACAAAGAGCCCCCCAAAACCTATCAGGCGTGTGTTTTGAAACACACCCCACAAAACCAGAACTATAGTAACCACAGGAAACATGATCATACATATACAAGTGAAAGTGTGAAGAGGAATCATATTGTAACATTAACAAAGAGAATAATTAATGTAAATTTTTTGAACTTTGAAAGAAATCACTTACTTGTATTTTTATAAATTCTTAAAGATAATAAAAAGCAGATTTGGCTAGATAATAATGTAAAAGAAAAGTACAGCTATTCCTAACATTAGGGTCTTCTAATTCAGGGTGTAGTGATTGAGTCTACGAAATGCCAGGCACTAGGTGGGCTCCTGGTTTGAAGGTAAACCAGACACAATTCCAGCCTTGTGGAGTTCAATGGAAAGGAAGGGACAGTAACAAAAATATTTGTTGGAGTATAATTCCAGGTATTAGCAGGCATGACTCCCAACCCAAGCATGGAAGATTGGTTTCCTAAGGCAGAAAAGTGGTAAACATCTGGTTTTCCTTGCACAGGGAGAACACAGAAAGGGGGACCCACACTTTGCCATTGTGAGCACTCAGGTGTGGATGGAACAGGGAGGCCTCGGAAGGGCTGAATGACAGTGTAGCGGAGAACAATAGCACTGGTCACTGACGGCCCCACAGGCTGAACTGGGGGGTTCGGGCTTAACAAAGGGACAAGTGAGAGCAAGTGACAGTCTCAAACAGAGAGCTGATGTAATTATATTTATCCTTTAATATTCACCAGAGAAAGAACAAAAAGAGGCAAATCTGGGGAAAAGTCTAAGGTAATAACTGGAGCAGAGCTAGGACTGAGAGGTGGCGGGAAGAAAGGGGACGAGGCTTGAGAGGTTCGAGAAGGTTGGTCAAAACCAACAAGGAGGATGAAGAGGAGAAAGAGTCATGGTCACTGTCCCTACACCAGGCCCTTTTCTAAGAGCTCTATGTGTATTGGTAACTCAAGGAGTTCTCACAAACACCCTAGCAAGCAGCTACGATAGTTCTCTCTTTTAATAATTCAGGAATTGAGTCCTTGGAGGTTTTAAGTAACTGCCCCCGTTCACAAAGCTAATAAAAGGGGATTCCAACAGAAGCGGACTATCCTCTTAATCCGCCCTCTACTACCTACAGGAAATCGCTAAGCAAGCAGGACCTTTTAGGTAAGCACATGTCGTCGCTAATTTGGGGAGCGTCATTTTTAATGTTTCTTGTGAACTGAGAATATTTGATTTTTCATGGAGGCACATTTTCCTTGAACTTTCAGGATTTGGGGATATTCAGGGTAAATAATCTGGAGTTGAGCTGTCCCTCAAGCAGCGGCAGCTCCCCGTCACCTTAGCAGCGGGATTCTGTTTAACCTTTCCGACAGAGGTGTGACATCTGAAGACCACACAGCTCAGTGACCTGGGGACTTGGCCCATTTCTACCCAACCCTGACAGTGATGTGAAAACTACACCATCAGGTCACATCAACAGACATTCAGATGAGAGCAAATGATTCTCCCTCGCTACCTGGAACCAGCAAAACCTACCACCAAGAAGAGAAAGGGGAAACAGACCACCATCTCCAAAGTGTGTACTATAAACTGTGCTAAGTGGTTAATGAAGACTCATGCCTACTCAGACAGCCCTTGTGAGGAGACTAGCTGTTGCTTCTGGGACACACTGAAGATATTTAAAGGAAGCCATGTCATGCTGCGAACGACTGAGGATAGCCCGGACTTCAGGTCAGTGGAAATGGGAATTTGAAACCACTGTCAAATCCTGAAGGAGCATCATGAAGGGGCAGAACAAGGCCCTCAGGGGACTAAGAGAAGGCAGACCATGTCTGGGCATTGAAACAATCTCCCTAACAATCAGATTTCTCTGTCTTCCACTGTAATGAACTGGAGGGTAAATAATTCAGGAATTAACTGAAGGGATTTCTGCACCAAAGCGTGGGCCAGAAGACAACGACCCTCACAGAGGTGGCCTGCCCAGCTGGCCCCCTCCCAACACTCTGCCATGGTGTATCCTGGGACACCTGGACCTACACCAAGAGAGGCTGGACAGTTTCCACCTCTCCACACACACAGGGAGAGAACAAGTGACTGCACCCTGGCAGTGATCGCAAGGGGACATTTAGCTGACCTCTTTCAGGACAGGGGTTTCTTCTAAACAAAAAGAAGACAAACGAGGAAAAATTACCCTTCTTTCTAGCTCAGGCTTCTACGACCTGAGCTGCAGCAGCATTTGGACAAAGCCTGAGGATGAAAGCCCACATGCTGAGGGGGTGAGGCTGGCCCCCACCACCCCATGCAGCTGCAGTCCCACTGAGGCCTGCAGTGCCAGGCATCAGTGCCCTCCTGCCCCCCGAAGCCACCGCAGGCACTATGTTCTAGCTCTTTCTGCCAAACACACCATATCCGATACAGTCATGGTTAAACCAAGTTTTAGAGTTACCCAGTCTAGTCTTTTACAAACTTCCTTGCCCTGGAAACAGCCAGCGACGCCTGGAAGAATGTAAACACACAGGAGATGAAAGGACTGTGATCATGTTAACAAGAGAAGCTTCATCTTCCTGTGCAGCCTCAAATGCAAAAGTGAAAGTCCCACAGAAGTGGCCTGAAAGTGCAGGGAGAGTGAGGATGCCAAAAGACAATCTTATCATCAAAGAAAAATCAGCTGGTGAAAAGGGAGGCCTGTTGCGTCTAACAAAAGCTAAATCAAGGATATCATATCATTTTTATTCGGGCCCAAAATAATTGCCCATTTGCTCAGGCACTGGGATTCTACTATCCAAGGCACAGAATACTGCGACACTAGGGCTGCCTGAAGATGGGTGCATGCAGTGCAATGACACATGTGAGGGACAGTTCCCGACATAGGACAGCAGCACGCTAGCTCAGGTTAGCAAAGGCTCAGTGCATGTCAGCTGTGTCAGTCCTCTTCCAAAGATCCAGGCTTTTTTTTTTTTTTTAAAGCAATCAAGAGAAGACATTCTAGCTCAAAGATGGGTCTTTAAGCCAAACGCAGAGAATCTGTTGATGAACATGACAAAAGAACAAATGAAGGAAAAAAAGAAAACATGAAGAAAACAAAAAAGAATGGAGAAAAGAGGAAAACTAGAAAAGGAGACACAAAGGAAAACTAGAAAAGGAAAACTAGAAAAGGAGACACATTACTTCCCTGGATTAAGATTTTTTTTTTAATGACATGAAGAGGAAGGAGTCGTTAAGAGTGAGATTATGTAAAGCAAAATTACTAGAGTTTTGACAGTGAGGTAAAAGAATAAGTAATAAGGGATCCTGGAGAGTCATATCCTTCTAGAGGAAGTGATGGGAAATGGAGCAAGAAGGATTCCGTCACATAGTTTTCCAAATTGAACATGGGATAAATAAAATCAACTGAGGCAACTGAAATTCTTAGTCAGAGTGAAGTAGCAGATTCAGAAGAGTCAGGGCCAGAGAGTTGCCCAGCCACGGAACGTCTCTAACAGCAACGCGTATACTTGAATACGAACTAGAGACCAGGACAAGGTAAGTACAGATCACAAAATAAAGTGCGTTCAATACAGGGTTTGCAAAATCCCTCTGTCCTCACTTTTTCTTAGCTTCTATATCCACAGGGACCTGTCTCTTCTTTGGGGGAGGGGGAGGGGGCATTTCTTGCTTCGTTCTTTTTGTAATTACTTGTTCCCTTATTCGAACAGTCTCCAAAAGATCCTTCTGAGGAATCTGGGACATCCCCAGCTTTGCAACCGCCTGAGTCACCTGAAATAAAATTCAGCGTTAGTTTTCATGTTGTATCAGTTTTATAGAGATATAATTCACATGTCATAAATTCCCCCTCTGGCGGCACCATTCACCGGCTACCCATATATTTAGAGTCTCGCCACTATCCTCACTTTCTATTCCAGAAGATGGACCACCCCAAAAAGAAACCAAGTACTTCTTAACAGTACTTGGTCCAACCACTATAGTAACCTACTTTCTAATGACAGATATGCCCATTCTGGACATTTCATAGAAACAGAACCACAGTGCATGTGATCTTTTACAGAACCACAGTGCACAGCTCCTTTTACTTAGTGCAACGTTTTCAAAGTTCTTCCATGTTGTAACATAAAACAGAATTCCATTATTTTATTGCCAACCAGCACTCCATGTGTGATCCAATCACACTTTGTGTCCCCACCAACCTACTGCTGGACATTTGTGACATTCCACATTGGGATTGTGATGACTAGTAGTGATAGATGAACATTCACGTACACACTTCAGTTTTCTTTTTGATCAATTCACTAAAATACTTTATAATGAACAAAAATATTGAAGATTTAAGGCCATGTAATGAATTCATGTTAGTTATCAGTTACTGAAGGTTAAATTATTGGTTAGAATATAACCAATAAGTTTTTAAAGATCGACTAAAATTTACTTTAGAAAAGTCAAGATGCATACTTATCAGTTGTTCAATTTTACTGTAAACCAAGTATAACACCCTAAACTTTTAGTTTACATACTAATCTTATATTCCATAAAATCCAAAACAAAGCTGGACATGTAATTTCTACTTCATAGCACAATATATTCTCCAAAGCAAAAGGTACCTGATTGGAAGAATCTTCTAGTCTCTGAACCAAGGAATCCCACCTCTGAGTCAGTTCCTCTGAGTCACTGTTGATCTTCATAGATGCCTTGGGATTATCAAGCAGTTGACTGATGTCCTGGCCAATCTCACTTAGCTGATCCAAAGCCTGACGCTTCATTTCCATGTCCTCCTTCAAAATCTAGCATTTCAGATATCTATTAGATAACTCCCTCTCACAGGGCTTTATGTTCCTTTTCCCCGGTCAGGAAATGTAAATGTGTATATTTTAGAGTAAAACTCACTCACTATGCAGTTCCCTAATGCCAAAACCTAGGACTCCTGGTTCTCGAGCATTACCTGGCAGCATTTTAGTGCTGGGTACTGAGTCACACTGTGCACCCACTGAACTGCATTAACTGTTGATAGAAAACACGCTGCAAGGCCTCATTGCCTGACCAGGGTCTTACTTACAGCCAGTCGCCGAATATTGACGCTGAGTTCCTTCTGGTCTTTGAAGTCTGTCGTCTGCACTTTATTTAAAGCCTCTTCTTTTTCAGTTAACCAAGCTTTTAACAAGCACTATAAGCAACAAGAAAGGTTAGAAATTTATTGGGGCAATCATTTGTATTTTAATTTAGTAAAGTTTCCAAGTGTCTAACTTTCATGTGACTAAAGCCTTCACTCTTTCCTAGGACAGGAACTTTGAACAGCCATATCTGAGGCATAACTGATCCAGGAAACCTGTTTTCTTTAAAATAGACTTCGCAGGGCCCTCCCTGGTGGCGCAGCGGGTAAAAGCACTGCACTAAGAAGCTTAAGTCACTTTCGCATGAGTTCGATCCCCACCTGCCTCACTTTCGCATGAGTTCGATCCCCACCTGCCCCGGAGACGATCCACATGGCGCGGCAGACCTCTCCTGACCCGCCCGCTGCTCCCCTCAGCAGTATACTTCATTGATCTCCCCACTCTGCCTGTTCTGCTCCCCACTCTTTCCCTGGTGAATCCTCTCACCCTCCGCATCTCTGGCCTGTAACCCAGTTCTGTATGAATAAATAAATAAATCTTTAAAACAAAATACACTTCACAGATGTTCACCTTGACATTAGCCCCCAGGTGACTCAACAGAATTCTCAGGGAGGCAGGCTAAATCCAACTCTCTCTGTCTCCAAAGGAATCAAATTCTCCAGAGGCTGAAGGAAGCTCAGAGATTGTTTTGTTGGAAGCCCTCATTCTGGCAAGTCAAGGGAAGGCCACATCAAGTACCCACAGCCCCGCCCCAAGCCAGCTATTTACCAACACACGCAAAGGACCACACTTGCAGATTCAAAAGCAAGGCCATGGGGATGGCGGGAATAAAGCACAGAGATGTTGAAGCCCCGCTGCCCAACAATGCAGTTGTTTTAAGCAGAAGATACTTAGTGATGTAGCGAGATAATCTGGAAATGGCTGGAAAACTACCCGGGGCGCATTGGGTTAATTCTTCCCAAAACCATCTCTATAGACTTAGGAGGGGGGAAAAAATCTTGCTTTTGTTTTTACAATGAAATCCCATTCTTTCTCTACTTGTTTTATTTATCTGTTCATTTAATAACATTCCTTGCATCTCCACACAAGATAAAGAATATGGAGTGGTTAGCGTTATAAGTTTAACAAGACATGTGGATTCTGTGGTTAGCGTTATAAGTTTAACAAGACATGCACATAAACAGGACAAGACAGAACATGCAGACACCACAAAGGTAACTATGTACATATATCATACATAAATATCAATGTGGAGCATATGTAGAATCTATTATGTAAAATTATTTTTTAATGTGATAGCAATTCCAAAGAAAAGATTATTTCCAATTTTAGGGTCATCACTTATAAATGACTTCATAGCCCTACGTGAATGATGAGACTTAAAAATAATGAGATTACAGTACAAAAGTGAGTAACAATTTAAGAGTATTAAAAAAAATAGAAGTAAGATAGAAATGGGTAAGATGCATTCTGCAGCAGAGGCCATAAAAAAGGGGGGCTAGAGAATAAATAAAATAGTTCCCCTTTCAAAAACCACCAAAATAAAGCAGAAAGCTCTGAGGCACCTGCAGTGCCCAGTGCACACAGAACGGAGTGGGCAAAGTACCAGCACTGTCTCTCGTGTCGCCTGCCTGAGAGCAGCAGCAAGCTGAGAATGGGGTCTGAATCATGGCAGGACACAGGGAACCTAAGGTCACACTGAAATGCAGGAGAAGCTGCAGATGTTTGGAGTTAATCCTCAGAGCAGCCCATTTCTAAACTGTCTTCACACCTGTACAGTGACCCCTTGAAAGACTTTGTGTTCACATACAGGATATGTGGTCTCCTGCTATGCAATCTGCAACAGCAATTTAACTAAATCACAAGACTAGTGTGGGCTTTACGTTTACACGTAACAAGGTTTCTCCTGTATTTATGGATTCCACAGAAATCCTCGCAAAGATCCCTTTAAAACATAAACTAATAAATGTCCAAACTACTAGCCACTTTTCATAAAAATAAATATTTTATTACCAATTTAAATTATTTCCAAGTTTGAGATTATTTTATTAGCAAGAGAGTAACATGATCGTTTTCTCTAGCAATCAATGTCTCCTATTATAGAAGTAAAATGTTAACTACTCTGTGTGATTCTCTGGCCTGAAAACAAGATCCAAGTCAACGCAAATATTTGTAAACTGAAGTGTAAATATTTCAAAATCAAAACCAGGTCCGTTATATGATTCTTAACAGGGAAAATGACCAAAAAATGGGAAGGAAGGGAGAGTTACAAACCATTTATGTTGAGACAAATTTTGCAGACTGTTTTCTCTTGACTACCATATTAATAAGCCATAAATATGATAAGCTGTGTTTATCCATTGCAAATAACATACTTCCTTTTTTTGCGGAAATCCATGTAGAGAATCAAAATGGACACGGAGGTTCAGGGAATACAATATGTGTTGATTTGAAAAAAATCACAAATGTTTGGGGTTTGGAAAAAAAATTGTGTTATTGATATTCTGTTTTGATGATTGCTTTTCTGCAAAGATGGAACCACTACTGTGACTGAAAAATTAAGCTGTCAGTTTTGTGTTCACTTGCTGAGGTGAAATAAGCCAGTAGTTGCATGTTAAATAAGTGGTGGAGTTGCTAAATAACATTTAGCATTAATTTCTGGTTAAATGTTAAAAAATCTCTGCGTTTTAAAGTTCAGAAAGTATTTAAGTGAATTTACTTATTTTTATTTACTGAACACAAAGTGGATGGTAGGCACTGTGTAGATGTAAGTGTAAGACAAAAGCAATAATGTCAAATTAGTCAAGAAAACAGCATCTACCTTCTAGCACTCCACATAGTGAACACAGATGAAATTACTATTACAGTGAAGTCATATAATTTGATCTCTATGAAGAAGCCAATCAATTACAAAATGGATAAACATCTGATTTTAAAAAGCAGTAAGAACTATTATAGTTTCTTTTCAAAGAACAGTAAACAAGACAACGTCTCTGAAGTGACAATAACCACAGGTTGCTTTACACTATCTACTTCACTCTTTATGGATAACAGTTGCACACCTGTTCATCCAATAATTCCTGCCATAGGATATTGATTTCTTGCAATCTGTTCCAGCGCTCTTCAGTCCAACGACACACTGCTGTCCAGCGTTCACCGAGTTTCTAAAAAAGAAAGAAGCCATTTGTGTCAGCTAAGCCTTCAGAGAAACTTATCACCATCCTTAGAGAAATTCATGGCATCATTGCTCTTTATTACAAAACAGTCAGTTAAAAAAATACTTTTATAAAAGTTGTTTTTAACTAATACAAACAAGTCCTTTAATTTTACAAATGAGGAAAATTAATGTCCATAGAATTTAGCTAATGATTAATATTCCAGTCATATTCCACAGGTAGAAAGTGACATGACCAGAACTGTCTTGTTATTTTTTTTTTTAAGATTTATTATTTGTGTATACAGAACTGGGGTACAGGCCAGAGGCTCAGGGGCAGTGAGAGGCTTCACCGGAGACAGAGTGGGGAGCAGAACAGGCAGATTGATGAAGTACACTGCTGAGAGGAGCAGCGGGCGGGTCAGGAGAAGTCTGCCACGCCATGTGGTCACCTCCTGGGCAGGCGGGAATCGAACTCATGCTGAAGCGGCTTTAGCTTTTCAGTGCTATGCTTTAACCCACTGCGCCACCAGGGAGGGCCAGTCTGTCTTGTTATTTTTTAACTCCAAATTCCTACTCTTTCCATTTCATTGTGGCTTTTTTTATTATGAGATGCCAACAATTTTATAGATAGTCCTCAAAAAATATCAAGCAAATCTGGGGGAAGAGTGGGCTTAAAATGTTTCAGGCTATCATTGCATTTAAAAAAGGTAGTTTATCAATTACTTCTTACCCACCCATTCATTACATGACAGCTATTATCTATCGTATCAACATTATAAAATATTTTAACCTTATAAAATCTATGTTTTGAACGAATGTGTACAAAATAAAAAATAGTTAATTGTTGTGTTCTGCTACACTGCATGAGCCATAGAAAATTCCACAAAAATCAATAGAGTCTTATAACTACTGGCAAGATTAAATCAATAAAAACTAATTTCCCCCAAAATAATTCTTCATGAAAATTTGTAAATTATTTTATTACTATTTTATAAATAGTATATAATAAATGTAAATTTTATTGCTACATTACTTGCCGGTGAACAAGAATTATTTCATTCATACTATATTATCTTGATAGCTAACAATATAATCTGTTTTAGAACACAAAGGGTAGAGAAGTTAGAGCCAGACAACAGGTCTCCTGTCTCGGTATCACTCATTGTCTATTTAAATCTCAGGGGCGTCACTAAACCCCTCTGAAGTTCAGTTTCCTCACTGTTAACCAGGCAAGACAAGAAGATCAACCTCTCTGGTTACTATAGTAGCTAAATGCTATTGTACCAAGGTCCCAAAACCACTGGCCAGCTACACACATTTGGGTGCAGGGGTGTATGTTCACACCTCTCATACACACTTAAAAGTGCATGCATATTACCACAGCACATACACCACCTCTGGTCAACTTCAATGTTACAAAAGAGCATGTTGCATGATGAAATGCTAACGTGACAGCAGCTAAAAATCATAAATTGGAAACATCTTATTAGGTATTAAAATATTGTTCAAGTGAAATACCAATAAATCTCTTTAGACATATTTGTAAAAACATACACTATAGCCTTTGTGCAAAAAGAAGCAATTTGGAGGGCTCCCAATACTGCTGGTAAAACTCACACCCTGACTTACCAAGGAAAAGGCATATTAAAGCTAACACAGCTGAATTCTGTAAATTTTTAGGTACACACATTTTTTTTTTTAAGTGTAGGTTCACTGGGCCCCAATCCCAGGAATTTAGGAGGTCACAGTAACCAGATATCCGCATTTTTATAAATGCCTGCAGTGATTCTGAACAAGAAGTCTGTGGTTCACTTGCGAAGATCAGTCCCTGGGTTTCCAAGTCTTGTTAATGTGATACACAAGGAAGCTGGGTTCTAAGTGTAGCCTTATCCATCACCCCAAAGGTCAAGTTTAGGGCCATGAACCCTACAGCCTATATGTTATCGACTCTCAACTGCAAAGTACAACTTAAACAGGTTATTCTACTCTTCCAAATCAATACGAAGACAGACCATAAAGAGGAGTAGGAATATGTACTTGGGCCTCAGTCCACACGTGCCGTCCTATTGTGCAGGGTCCTTACCTGTAACTGATCTTCCAGAATGGTCGTAGCACTATCTCCACTGTTTTCATCAACAATCACCACCATGTGAGTTAATGAGTTTACCTTTAGCTGTTCGGCCTCAAGATCATTTTGCAAACTCTAGAGGAAAAAAATGAAGACAACCCATTATTTCTACTCTTTCCCATTACCTATTTAAAATCCACTCAGTTGTCAATAGTAATTAAGGACACTTAATGAGGCCACCATGTTTAAATTTCCAATCATTACGCTAAGTATTCTACTAATGAAACAAGCTCGTTGTACATCTTTACATTTCATTAAGAGCCAAAGCAGTTTGAAAATGCGATGTCATTAACAAATTGCAAATGGATATCATGGCATTTATTCCAACTTCTAGTTAAAACACACACACACAGCATAAACAGCTTGTGTGTCCATGGAAATTAAGAACATAGAATGGGTAAGTCCAAAAATGTTCTGAACTTAAATATATAGAGTTAGAGATCATTTTTCCTAGTGCAGAATGGTATAAAGTGAGATGAATCAAATGCTATTTAAGAGTCAGAATCTAATTTGATTAGCTACTCAGAAAAGCAATTAAAGATATATGGGCACTTTCTATTCTCTCCTCTTCCCCAGGAGCGATCTTTATATGTATGTACATAGGGAGTTTACTTAAAAACGTGTTGTCAGAGGCCTCAAGTTGTCAATGAACTCCTGGAGCTTTATTATCAGTTATCTCTAGATTCCATTTCAACAATATTTTTTCAAACAATTCACAGAGGCTATCTTTTACTCTACCTTCCCTTATCTTGACTAAACTACTATCTCCTAAATCTGTGACCAAATTGAACTGTCCAACAAATTTTGATAAATTATCTAGTGCATGTTATCTTCCTGAATCAAAGAAGCCATAGGTTTCCTTACAGGATGGGGCAGAGAGAAATCTGAGGGCCTGCTTCTTCGCCTAATGCTGTGTGAGCATCGGCACAGTCTAGCTGCCCCAGCCTTGAAGGAAAGCCATTGCTTCTTCCACTGCTAGGCATCTTAATAGCCTCATGAATGCCAGGTGCTTTCCTAAGAAAACTGTATGTACCTAGAAGGAATCCAGACTTGCAGTTGCATCCCTGGTTCTGAAGAGCCACGGCATATCCTCTGTACTTTTGGGTAAAAGTACATTGCAAAGGTACCCCAACTCTGCTCTAGTCACAGAAGACCCTGAGTACACTAAGTACTGTTTTTTCAGATTTGATAGGGTATGAAAGAAATATGAGACCAATTACTTTATGATCTTCTAGCAGCTTCTGCAGGGATTTTAAATCATCATCCAGGGGACAAGTCTCCATCTTCTGGATGCGTTCTTCCGTGAGTGTTAGCCAGGCAGAGAGCTGCTGCAGCTGCTGCTTCTGCAGCTCCATCAGCGCGTCATGCAGCCTGCGGGCGGGACACAGCATCAGCCCTCTCTGAGGGACACCGCCTGTCTAACCGCTTAAAGTAGCTTCTGGTCCTTACATATAAAAACCCGCAAAAGAAACTGTGCGTTTTCTAACTAAATGGAGGGAATTAGAGGCAGCCAAACATACGATCAGCAGCATCCTTTATTTATATCAGTCTTCGTTTCTCTGACCAGGTAGTCCCTTATTAAATAGGTGGAAACTGCAACAGAATGTAGTTTGATCCGTAACGCACAATACATGAAATAAAATGAACCATGAGGGGCAAACTGCTTTGAAGGATGTCACAACATGGAATTGTGGATAAATTCTACGTGGTACCATTTTCCTATCGAGTGAATAGTTACTTGATTTTTATCCTGGGCACAGGTAAGGGTAATGTCGTTCCCCTTTTTGCTAACTTTTATTTTCCCAGTTTTACCTTTGGATTTGGTTAACACATCAAAGGGAAAATAAAGGTCATACAAAACTCCCATGATGGTGCAAAAAGAAATCGTACTAGGCGAGTTCTGTCATTATCCTGGTCTCACAGGCAAACAGGCTTCTGCTGAAGCTGGGGCTCAGCCACAAAGTCTAGGAGTGAAGGCTCATTCCTCTGCTTCACTCACCGGGACTGTCTGCTCATGCTCTCCACCCTCAGGGATTCCCACCGGGCATTGAGCAGGGTCATTTGCTCCTGAATCTCAAACTCTTCTTCATCAGACAGCGTTCCCTGTGTTATCAGCTGATTTCCCGCCTGCAGAACGTTCCCCACACTGCTCTGGTGTGCTGTCAGCTCCATCATGAAAGCCTGAAAAGATATGTCATTATGATTTGTGAGCTGCCCATTGCAAAAGTATCTTAATAAATGGTTAATGCCTAGCCATCAATGCTGCAGGAAAGGGTAGCCCAGGGAAGTGCAAATATAGTATACTTTGATCCAGATTTTTAAATACTGAATGTAAGAAATAAGCAACTGGCCTAAGTGAAAAGGGGAACAGATCAAAGAGGACAATGTAATGTATGAATAAACTAGGTATTGTTAAGTAAATTTTAAATAATGCTACTGACAGGTCATGACCTGCAATTAAAAGAAAAGATAATATATAAAACCCCATGTTCATGAAAGGATTACTAACATTTCTATTATTTCTAGTATTTCCAGGTCAATACAGCACATAAAACATGTCAATGAGCATACAGATGCACAAGGAACTGCCTCGTCAGAATGAAATCTCTACATAATCAAATGCATCTCACTGCAAAATAATAAATCCTCAAACTAGCAGGAAGCTTTCATGATAAAATTGGACAGGAACACAGGCTATAACATTTGCATAATCATACAATAAATAAAAATAATCACTTCTTGGAGGACATTCAAGACCTAAAGATTTGGAGTATTAATTAGCTATTTTGTGTTGTTTTTTTAAAAAGATTTATTTTATTTATGTATACAGAACTGGGGTGCAGGCCAGACAGGGTGGGGAGAAGAATAGACCGACTGACTGAAGTATACTGCTGAGGGGAGGAACGGGGAGAAAGGAGAAGTCTCTCCATATGGATCAGCTCCGTGGCCGGGGATTGATCTGGCACTGAAGTGGCTACAGTGAGCTTCACAGTGCTGCACTATAACCCACTGCACCACCAGGAAGGGCCTATTTTGTGTTTAAGAATACACTTCAAAAACAGGCAGCACTATGCACAGATCCTTCTCTGTGGCTGCAATGGATGTACAAATTACAGTAAGATTCAAGTCCGAAATTTAATTCCAAAGTGCAATCACAATGCCCCATTTAAGTATCATGACTCCGACAAGATGCCATGAGCTTTCAACGGAGCAGCACTCAGTAAGGACAGCCCCTGAGAAGGCACAGGCATTGCAGCCGGTCTCTCTGGCTCATCAGCTACAGGTTATTTACTTCATGGGTGGCAAACTGGTCTTTGACTTCTTCAACATCATCGGATACATCATCCTGTTCCTGGAAAGTGTCCTCAGCAGAAAGCAACCATGTCAGCACTTCCTCCAGGGCTATCTGATAGCTGTCCAGGTCCATGTCAACCTCCGTGACCGTGCTGGGGGTTTCCGCTCGAGAACTATCATGCTCTTCCTGTGCTGAGCTCTACAAAAACAAGGCCAGGAAAAGCCACAGCGTCATGAAGAAGGAAAGGTGCTCAAGAGAAGCATGCCTTACGGAGTCTACGGCAGGCACCGCGTGGAGGGCGGCCACATGGTCCCAGAGTCAGGCACCCATGTCACGGAGAAGTGGTAGGCGCTTACTCAGTGTGCCCGGAGGGTTCTGTACCCTGAACACGTAGTGAAGCTAGAGAGAGAGAAATAACCTACACGCGTCACTTCTGAACAAATAGGAAGTGGCTATTAGCAATGTTATAAAATTCCACAGTTCCAACAAGAGATGCTTTTTGAGTTCACTACGTGCTAAAAAAGGAGTTTCACAGAAGTTCTGCAATGTGCTGGGCCTTGAAGGGTAGCTATCATTGAAGGAAAAAGAGGCAGAGATTAAGAGAATAGAATTCTGCTTTGATTCTGAGTTAAACTACTTGTATTCTGTTGCATTTCAGATACAGGAAGACAGTCACATGCAGGCTGTTGAACTGAAGGCTTTTTTTTTTTTTTTTTTTTGAGGAGTTACCCTCTAAGTAACTTGCTAGTTTTAATATTTAAAGAATAAATTTATATTTATTATAAATCAATAGGAAAAATTAATCTCAAGCTCCTTCTAAGCAATGAAGTATTTTCTTAAATATTTTGGAATCTTCTAACCAAATCAAAATTTCTAATTCTTGTGTTCCTTTTCAAAGCAAAACTTTTCGAATACTTGCCTACAGTCCATCTACATTTTAATCATCTCCCCACATCTTCTATGTCTCCACAAAAATGGACAGAAAATGAAAGAGATAGTCATGGATTTAAGAGCTACAGTTTGTCTGTATCCTTTGCCTCTGATTTGGTATTTTTCCTCAATGCTCACCTGAAAAGACCTATCAGTGTCACCAATAACCTTTCCATTGATAAATCTGCTTTTCTGGCATCATCTTTGGCATATCCATGCAGCTAAACAAAAACCAAAGCATTTTTTTAAATAATGGTGTCAGGACAATACATACACCAGAACTGACCAATCAAACTCAGAGATCTGGGTTGTCCTGTTTCTTACTTAGATTCTCAGATGCATTCCACATAACTGGCCACTCCCCACCCTCTTGAAGTGCACCTTCCCTGCTTCAGGAACACCACCCTGGCCAATATGTGAAGGAGTACTGCATAAAGAGGCACACATACAGTGATGATGGAGCAAAGGCTGTAGGACAGTGGCCTGCGATGACTTGTGGAGTTAGGAGGGGCTTGTAAGCTAAGAGAAGATGATATCTATAATTAGTTGTAATGGCTGAGACTAAAAGGAAACACATAGAAGAAATTTGGGAGGGAGGAAGAACCAAAAGGACCCACTAGGCTGAATAAAAGACTTAAAAGGTGAATGAGGAAGCACACTGTTGAAACACTGAGTAATTAAGAGACATGAGAAACACAGAAACAAACACAGAAAAGGGAAAAACAAGAAGTTTAGATCGAAAATCCTAACTCCAAAGATCCTAACGCTGGAGATCATTAAGAACCGACCCTCTGTAGTCTCATGCTGATAGATTAGAATTGGGAAGACACTCAAGACAAGCACAAGGATTTCCCTGGTGGGCAAAAAGGTCACATGTACGTGCAAATGTTCAGAAGGTATTAACTAAAACACATGATGAAACTTTCAACTGAGAGATTAACTCAGAGTAAGGCAGGAATCATTTGCTGACCACCTAATGCTGAGTGAGAGAGGGAGACTGGTTCTGCAAGATTACTGAAAACACCAGAAGGAGAACTCTGTCAAAGAGCAGGTGATCAAAACTCGAGCACATTTTAGTTCTTCAATTAACTTCATTCAACCTCTATGGCACTAACGAATGCAGGCAAAGGAAAGGTTAATGTTAATACACTTGCTGTTAATCAAACAGCAAATGGCTTCTGCAATTCTTATCATGACACCCGGAGCCCCAGAGAGAATGATTATTTTATCTACACATTATGAAAGGCAAATGCAATCTCCTTCTTTTTTAAGAGACAATGGACTTAACTATAAGAAGTCAAATATCCATCTTTCCAACAAAAGGATCTTCCAGTCCAATAAAGAAATGAGTCTAAAACCAAAAGGCAAATCCAGAAGATTATCTGAGCCACTTTGAGGCAGGATAATAACTCTACTACCAAAGACAAATGCTTCTCAGCATCTTCTCAATCAGTCATAAAATATTAAAAGTTTTCTTTAGCATCACTTGATTTTTGAAACTTTTCAAAAGAACCTAAAGTTCACAATCTGGACCAATCTCTTGCCTCCTTTTCCTCCAGAATATTTTTTGCTTTCCCTATAAACCATGCTATTTTAAAAATGAAGAAAATAAAAGGGCTGGTTTCTATGACCCAAAGAAAACATGTACTAATAAGTTCTCTGAACCTTGAAGAAAGAAAAAAAATGTTATGCCAATTTCAGGCCATTATCATTATCTGAGAATTAATTAACATTTTTAAAAAAGAACTGTTGAATGAGAATGAATGATAATGCCAAAACAAAATAAGAAGGAAAAATTATAATAATAATAGCTGCTGCTTACTGAGTGCTTATTAACATCATTTGAGCCACTTTGAATTCATTATCTTTATGAAGTAGGTGTTCTTATCCAGATTTTTCCAATTAAATTAAGGTTGAAGAGTCTAAAAAGAATTGTAGCAGGAAAAAGTTAAGCCTCAGAGTCCAAGTTTCCTGTTTCTCTAAAATGTGCTTCATATCAGTTTGAATCCATGTGTATCTTCTGGTTGTTTGATTGCTAAAAAGTTAGACTTTCAAGTTTTAAAATGAATTTTTAAGGTCTCATCCAACTATTAAGAGTCTCACAGATGAATAAAGAGAACTGGTTCAACTAACACAGAATAAAATAAAACATAGACTGATCCTGTCAGGCTAACAGAGTAAAAAAAGAAAATATATGACTTTATATCACCTAAAAAAAAAAAAAAAAAAACACATTCACTATATCCTGGTGAATAAAACATTGTAAGCCCTTCAGTAAAAAGCACACAAATAGCACACTGTCAACTACTCCCCTACAAGGAGGGATAATGAAGTTTATATTTTGATAATGAGAATATAATGTTTAAAAAAAAAGTCTTTATGTGGTTATTAAAAAAGAAAGGAAGAAAGAAAACTAGTACTGAGAACAAAATTAGACTGACATGAAAAAAAGCATCTTTATCGCATTAACAACAGTGGTGAGAGGCAACCAGGTGAGGGGGAAGCAGATGATCTGAGCCTGGGACCCCAGCACCATCACCCTGTCAGACACCCTCTCAGTAAATCACTGTGATGGCCTCCCACCCCACAGGTGACCCGTGAGGCGCTCCGACAAACTGAACCTCTCATATCTGTGTAAGCTGAGAAACCAAGACATTGCCCGTCAGGAGGAAAAGGCTCTACAGTGTTTTTCTCCAGTACATCAGAGAAAGTAAACATGGCAAGTCCAACATCTGAATAAAACTTCACCTGTACCTGAATACTGATGCCTCCTTCCTCACACTCTTTCCTGTATTTCCTTGGTAGCGTCTCTACTTCACGGATGGCATCTATAGTGACCTGCTGAGGCAGCACCTCAAACAAAGATGTTAGATACATAATTATGGATTTCTTGTCAGGAAGCTGAACAGCAACATCTAAAAGTGGAAGAAAATAAGAGCCAGCTTAAATTAGATGTCCAAAATATGTGAATTGCTCAATACAAGATATAAAATAACTGGCCTTAGTAATCATAAACAATACCAGTATATAATCTGTGCAATACCATAGCTCATTAGATTTCCATTTATTTAATATAATAGAGACAAAATTCAAAGGTGCCTATCTTTGCTCAATATCTATTGCTTGAAAATCTTCCCTAGACTTCCCCAAAGTGCTCAGAGATAAAGTACCATTTAAGATGCTTTTTTTTAACATTATAAAAGTCTAGAATTCAATCCTGCAACATTTGTAAATAAAATTTTCGTATCATATGCAAGCAGTTTACATAAGAATGCCCTTTAGCTTTCATATAACAATTGCTTACTCAAAAATTATGTTTTCCTAAAAGTTTATATCTTACTTGGGTATTAATCTTTTCTACAATGATGTCATTAAATTTCTATCAGATCCCTCAATTGTTATGCACAAAATGTTTAGCACAAAAGTACTAATACCTTGTTTGTAATAAAATGACTCACTCCTATTATTCAACTACAACAAAAAATAATCCTCAATTCTCATAACACTTTCTAGAAAGAAAAAAGAAAACATGTTTCAAGTGTTTGACATTGTGAAGCAATATCAAACTTGAAGTAAAATACTAAACAATACCTTCAGGATCTAAGAGCTTTTCAATTCCCAAATAGGTTTGAGCTTTGTTGAAGGCATGTTCGAGTCTCTCAATGGGGGACATTTCAACCACACGGTCCCAGCTGAAGAGATCAGGTCTGAAATCACCAGACAAAATGCAATTGGAGATGAAATATAAAAGCACAAAGTGGTTATGGCTATAACCTAATACATTTTACTTTTAAATTTTTCTCTGTGTTAAAAATATGTATCTTCTGTATGCCAAAGACTTAATAAATGGATACTATCTAAAGGTAATTCATATATACAAAAACAACAGGCCAATACATTCTAAGCTTCTTTTGTTGGTTAACTATGATTGTTAAAATTTCTAGAGAAACCACTAAACGACTGAAAATGGTAATATTTTTGCAGAGAATAAAAGAAAAAAATGGAAGGAGGAATCAATCAGTAAAAGAGAGGGAAAAAATATGAAAACATTAAGAGAAATGAAAAGATCGAGGTAAGTGGCAAAAAAAGAAATTAAGCACATCTATTATCACAATCAAAGTTAATGGACTAAATTCTCCAGTTAGAAAGCAAGGTTTAGCAGAAGAGAAAATCCATCTCTAATCTGTTCAGGGGATAAACCTAAACCAAAGGTCAGGACCTCCCATCACCCCTTCCATGCACATATTGTCTAGTATATGTCACCGCTATGTTGATTTTCTTTAAATCCCATAGTAGGACATAACTGTTGCTCTAACTTGTCTAAAAAAATGATCATTTTCCTCACCGTTTGTTCACTTCTATTTATTCTTGCCACATTTGCCTTCTGGCGTTGGCCTCCCACGTTGCTCCCTCCATAGTCCCTCAGTTCCCTCTCTCACCTCATTTCCTGTTATTCCCCCCACTCACACCACTGGGCCCACCAGCTCCCCCACACTAGGGAATTCCCTCTCCTCCTGCCTGATGTATTTTTCTTCAGCATATTCCCTACCCCTATATGCTACACAATTTAAATGTTCATTCTTTTTTCTTCCTATTTCTATTGGAACAAACTTCAACAGAACCAGTAATTTTGCCTGTTTGTTCTGTGCTGTATTATACCCTGCACACCACAACACTTGTAGAATCATCTGGTAAAGGGGAAAAAGCACTGGCTGACATTGGCGTTTTCTGAAATTTCATAATCAAACAGGAACAGAAAGCAACATCCTTAAACTGATCAAGGAGAAATGGAAAAAGACTGGATGTTGGGTACTTCAACCAGATCAAAAGAACACTGAAAAAGCTACCACAGACAACTATTTTATGGTCAAACATTAAAATCAGACCTTACTTAGAAATAAAACATTACTCACTATCACTGACTCAAAACAGTAAGGACAAATGAAAAAGACTAGAAATAAAGCTATTGTGATCCATATATATACTAGGCAAAAAATCTACAGAAACAAAATTTGTAAGAATTTAACAAGTTTCTAGGTATTAGATATAGAAAAGTCAATTGTATTTTTACATATCAGCAAAGAAATAAAACAAGGCAATAATTTATAACATCAATAAAACATAAAACAATTTTTGCCTTTAAATTCTTGATGCATCTAAAATCTATTTTTTGGTGCAATGACATAAAGATGAAATTCACTTATTACATGTGGTATCAGTTGTCCCATCTACATATTAACCTGCAGTAGCAGTTCATTTGTTTGTTCAGCTTTCCTTTCTGTTGGAAATATTTCCGAGTTCCCCTTCTGCTAGGCTGACCTAAAAACATGTGAAACTACCATTCTTCTGTGCCAAAAACAGCCAAATATTAGCAATTTCATGTGGTTCATACTATTATATTAGCATACTGATTTATAATACTACATAGTCTGAATTAGTACTGCTTCCTAATTGATTTTGGCTTGCTGAGTATGTACTTCAACTTGGTCTTCATTCCCTGAAATATTCTGGTCCTTCTTGGGTCTTTGGTCTTTTATAGAATTAGAATGGGCTTGGACGTTCTATGAAAGAAAAATCACATGTCTATTTGTAATTGGGATTGCACTGAATTTATAGAGCTTTCCTTTTGGTGTGACAATAAAATGTAACAATTTGTGTCTGGCTCATGCTGAATGAGTGGGATGAACTATGAGTGAGAGGGACTGTTTTACATTTTTTAATTTATAAATATGTACCAGGTGCATGGATTGCACTGCAGCCTTCAGGTCCTTTGGAAATGAAAGGCGTGGCGGGTAGTTTTCTTCATGCTATCACTTGTCCTAACATTTTGGTCGAGCCCATGCATGGAGGAAAGCGAGGCTCATGGGGACATAGTGCTGGGAAGAGCAGGAAAGGAGAGATACAGAGGAGATAAATGTGGGAGGCCCATGAAGTAGAATTACGTCTCACTTATGTCGGTGGAGCAGGGCGTTGAAGGCGAGTCCATCCGTCCAGCTGGTAGTGAAGTTGAGGACGTTGACCTGGCTGTAAGGCCTGGTGGACTGGCGCACCCAGCTCAGCAGAATCTTCTCGCTGTTGGTCTGCTGCAGGTCTGACATGATGTCTTTCATGACATCCTTCACCTATGCAACAGAAACCGCATCTGCCTGTAACTTACAACGGTTATGGAAACCAGGTCCTTGAATAAGTAATTTACGTTAATTAACTATAATAGATCGCTTATATTTACTTTGTCAAATTTTCCTTTAAACACTGGAAAGATGAGTGCACATTTAAGACATTTACTTTGGTGTACTAGGATTTAGAGGTGATTTTCAAATCACCTCTATAGTATTTTCAGTATCTTGATAAAGCAATAATTATGCTAGATTTTGTTACAATGAGCATTGCTTTCATAGACACATTAAGTAATGCTTTAATGCTATATACTTACAAAGATCTTTAAATAGGAAGAAAATATAATTTTCATTTTCTACAAAAATGAGCATGAGAGGAAGAACATTTGACTGATTATAAAACTTAAAAAAGGAAGCACCTTTCCTGGTGACAACAGCAATTATAATCTAGAACTATTGTTTTCTATTAATGTAAAATAGTACATGTTTAAAGAATAACTAAGTGTTCAAAGGATAACTAAGATTAGACATATCAAAGGCTCCAACTTAAAAGATCATCCATGGACCAAATCTAGGACAATTGGTTTAACAAAATAAATGATGATAAAAGATTAAAACCTACTGAATAAGTAAAAATCCATATGTACACTCATAGATGGTTGGAAGGATGGATGGATGGATGGATGGATGGGTAAATGGGTATGTGGATGGATGGAAGGAAGGATGGATGAAGATGGCCAAAGAGAAAAAAAAAAAAAAAAACAAGTAATGAGTGGGAGCTTTTCCTTTATAAATAAAAGCCAGTTAAATGTAAAAGGAATGTCAGTTGGGAAAAAAATCACTATTGACCAAGTAACATGAAAATAACCAATCAGGTAACAGCTGTGAATAAATTTTAAAATTAATGGACAAGGGCCCTCCCTGGTGGTGCAGTGGGTTAAAGCACAGCACTGAGAATCTAAAGCCGCTTCCGCATGAGTTCGATTCCTGCCTGCCCCGGAGTTGACCACATGGCGTGGCAGACCTCTCCTGGCCCGCCCGCTGCTCCCCTCAGCAGTGTACTTCGTCGATCTGCCTGTTCTGCTCCCCACTCTGTCTCTGGTGAATCCTCTCACCCTCCACATCTCTGTACCCCGGTTCTATATAAATAAATAAATCTTAAAAAAAAAAAAATTAATGGACAAAAGATCTGATGAGTTAGTGAATAGTACATTCATGAGACACTTTTTACTAACCAATGGCATTCAGGCTACAATAGAGACATTGGCAATATCACCTTACCCAAACAATGAAAGTTAACACTGCAAAAAAATAACTAATAACATGCTTTGTGATAAAGAAGAACGCAAAGTGATTTGGTGGCATTCCTACCAAAAATGAATGACCTGAATCTAATCAGGATAAAACCAATGTGGAGAGATATTATACAGGAAAAAAAAAAGAAAACTACACTGTTTAGTATTCTTTAAAAATGTCAATCTCATGAGATACAAAGACACAGAAACCATTCCAGATTAAAGGAGACTAAAGAGTCAGGATAATAAATGTAAGGCATGACCTTGGATTTTCCTTTTTCTGTAAGGCACTGCATTGTTTTGATTTTAATAGCTATATATTTGTGAGCAAAAAATAACTATTGTATCATATCAGCATTCATATTGATTAGAGTATACAATTCATATTAAGAGAATGATTTCATCTAGAAAATGCACAATGAAATAGTCCAGCACAGAGAAAGTGAACACAGAAACACAGGCAATTTCTTAACATTTGGAGAATCTGAGTCAAAGGTATCCAGGAATTCTTTAGCTATTTTTACAACTTTGTCATACCAAAAATTGTTTCTGTTTTTTAAAAGCTGTATTTTTCCTATGCCATGAAAACAGGTTGGCTCTTCAGTCTCTTGCACTCCAAACTGTTACAGTTTGAATTGTGTGCCCCCAAATTCACATGCTGAAATCCTGACACTCTCCCCAGTACCTTGCAGTGTGACTGTACACAAAGATAAGGACTTTGTAGGTATGATTAAGGTGAAAAGTTGGTCCTAACCCAATATGGCTGTATCTTGGCATTAAGAAGGGGATATTAAAACCCAGCCACACAGATCGGGGAAAAAGCATGTGAGGAAGGACACAGGAAAGAAGTGACTATCTACAAGCCAGGTTGATAACTTGGCCTCAGATTTCTAGCCTCCAGAATGGTGAGGAAATTAATTCCTACTGTGGAAGCCACCCACTGCAGCATTCTGCAAGGGCAGTCCCACGAACCTAGAATCCAAACAGAATGGTTTCGATTTCTATTAAGAAATGGTGGGAAATGGTCCCCACCTGCCAGTGCAAAATGATGCTCCAAAGTAGTCCCAGCGTCAACTTGGGGTTTCCATCTACAATGTCAGTTCCCCCGATATTCACCAAGTCCACCTGTTAAAATGGAAAAATAACTTAAGATAATTACACCACAGAAGCCCAGGTTTATGCTTGACCATATTTGGCAAGCAATAAAAGTGAAACAGCAGAGAAACTGCATTTTAGAGAATTACACTTACATCTCAAAAATCCATTATTTATCCAATAGCCCAATAATCAGAAAAGACACAAGTATTCTTTTTCCCATAGAAAAGGTTCAATATTTCTCACAAGAATAATGTTCCCAAAAACCACTTGGCATCATTACACAGAACAGGTGGCCTGTTTGACAATAAATCAACCTGAAGGCACCCAACACCCCCAATGTCACATCACCCACTTACATTGTTCTGATGTAAGACCTGCAGCACTCTGTTGACATTATTTAAAGCATGGACCCTTGTGGAGCCACGTTCCTTTGGCTAGAAAACAAACACAAAATCAAATAAGACGGACGACCTCCACAACGCTGACCCACCGCCACTGACAGGAGCACAGCCCAGAGGCGCAGAACACCAAACCCCCTGTGCCAGGAGCTCTGGCCAGTTTCGCAGTCACCATGGAGGCTAATGTTGACAGGATGCAAATTGCCTCCCTAACAGCATCTTAATATAGTCATCTGCTAGCTTGCCTGCCACCAGCACCTTCCAGGGAGCTCAGGAAAATACCCATTTCGATGTTAGGACCCTACCCTGTCTGGAGTACATGCTGGCCTTGGAATTTTTATGAGATTTCCTCAGATATTCTAATGCACAAGCAAGTTTGGGGATCAAAGTTCTGGGCAAAACTTCTTTTATTCAAATTGCTCTGCACACAGAAAGATGTAAAAATTGTGTCAGCTGCATAGTACACTAGTGTGCACAGAGCTGGGGGAATGGTGCAGTACACCAGGTTCCAGAGAGCACCACAGCAGCCCACTGCAAAAGCAGATATTGCCTCCTGGAGAAAGGTGGTCTGGGCCACTGCTGTCTGCCTCATTAGCCAGGGAATCTTAGCTGAAAGAGATAAGCAGTGCCCGCCCACCATCTGGAGTCAGAAGAGGGAAGAATAACACCCCACACTGTGGCAAGAAAGGAATTCATCTTCAAAAGTGCATCTCTGTCTACCCTCTATAGTAATTCTACCTCTAGTGGTAAGGTTTGTACCCATAAAATACATATTCTTTATTAGCAAGGGGAGTATAGATTACTCTTCAGGTAAAGTGATAGAACTCAACTTGATGAAGAAAACACACAAAGATAATACTGAAAACTCGAATAAAAGTAAATATACAGATTTTAACAACTATTTTTAAAATTATTTGTTAAAGAGCATATAAATGTGTAGCTCTACACTCTCTACTATTCAAAGCATTATGCCCTCTTTATATATCCTTCCTTCTTCGCAATTCTCTGCTGGGCTGTAATAGACAATTAAGATAATTTTACTCTTGATAGAAAACAGAGCCCACAAGAAAACCTGCATTGCTCTATCAAAGTATTCCTTGGAACATTTTTATATATGTTCCTATTTCAAGCTTTACAGTGAAAATATCCCCAGAGAAGGTTCAAGTATCAGCTGCAATAACAATCCATCAGCCTATTTTCAAAGATGATGCCTCTCACCAGTGATGTGCCCGTAAGACCTTCTAGAAGATCCAGTAGCTTCCTTCCATCTTTAAGGTCTGTGAACATATCACTTATGGGTGGTTTTCCACTCTATAAAAGGAAAACATTGGGTTAGCTCAGCAGCAGAAACTCTGACACATGTGGCAAAGTAATCAATGTTTTCATCTGTCCTGTGAAAAGCTCTGGGTAATCACTGCACTATTCAATTTGCTTTGTATGGAAAGAACAAGTACAAATACAGAGAACTTCAAAATCTCATAACAATAGTCTTATGCTAAAAGATTTAAGTTGTATTGTTTCACAGAGCAAATAAAGCTGTAGCTAATGTCAACATGCCTTGGATGTGGTATATATTTCTGAAAAAGAACAATGAAAAATGTATTACATATATAAATGAGTGTGAACACCTGGAAGAGCAGGTATGAATTTTATTCTATCACTGCCCTCTACGTGCCAGTTTGTTGGCATCTTTTAGCACTTGGAGAGCGAGCACAGTTCATTTCATCATTGACTTTAGCTCTCAGGGACAAGAGCTATACTTCTTGCTATTCGTTTCTGAATACGAGACATTCTGACTCTGTCTAAACTTATACCAGTCCGGTGTTGTGAATGACACAGTTTAGAGAATTTGCCAACTCTTGTCCCTGCCATAGCTAAGTCACAGCAACACCCACTGATAAATATACTGGCTAGTGGCAGTAACTCCATATCACATAGGTAGACCCTTTGCTCTCTGTGTGTGTGTGTGTGTGTGTGTGTGTGTGTGTGTGTGTGTGAGGTGATGCTGAAACAGGACTACCAGTCCACTGAAAAATTAGGAAATCTCAGCTTTAATCCAAGTTTGACCATTAACTACCCAGTGAACTTAGCTTCCACCTCTTCCTAAATCACAGGTTATTATAAAAAACAGAGTAGATATCTAGAACCTATAAAACAATGTATAATTATGTTGTATCAAATATGAAATCTCCATAGAGTAACAATCCTAGTTCATGTCAATAACAAAAATATTGCAGATCAATTATTTTATCTTCTTCCCTTTTTGCTTTTAGAAATTGTTTGCAATTAGCCATACGAAGTACTAGTTTACTCAGAGATTGAAATAAAAGAGAGGAAAGGAATTTATTCTGAAACTTTTAAAGTTTGTGTTTTCTCTTTCTCTCCTGGTCTTTTACATTGTGAATTAAATATATACTTGACTAGCAGAGTCTGGAATGTGGTTCTTCCATAGTTTACATACTCTAAAAAAGGGGACACATGGTAAAACTTTCACCACAGAGACAGTAAAGAATGAACTGACCCAGTTGGGTCTGAGGCAGCTGGTTTTGACTTACAGCTGCCATTTTGGTGACCAGCCCCCACATCTAAGACACACAGATTGTCTCCATCTCTCACAATAAGAAAGCAGGTTTGCATGATACAGGAGACCTGTTCTAGATGCATGTCAGAACGCAGCAAGAAGTTCCTCCAGCATAAACTTCCTATCACCAACAGTGAAAGCAAAGGCAGAGGTGACCCTCGTCAGGTACCACCTCTTACCGCCTCCTCACTAAACCAAAGTATAAGCTAACAAATTGGCCAGCAAAAAACCAGGTCCCCATTCACGAGGAGTTAAACCAGGTCCTGGACACAGTGAAGAGACAAAAGTAAGTCAAGTTCATAGGAGAAGCAATGAGGATGTCTGGGCCAATTAAGATATCTTAGGAAAAAATGCCAATGGCATTCATTTCTGATAAGCACTTACCTCAACTCCAATATCTGTTCCCCCCCAGAAAAAAATGAAGAAATGACCAGCAACAGTATAATACAAGGTAAATATAAATATCAGTCTATGTGACACATAATCACGAATGTCTATCAGAGACCGCACTGTGGACAAGAGTCTCCTACCAGCCACAGAACTTTGGAGAAGTTACTGGTCCCACCTGCATCTGTTTGTTTATCTGATAGAAAGGAAAGCTCTCCAGATGTATGTCTTAATAAGATAAAGTCCTGTAGGTATTTCTGGCATTGTTTTGCTTTTGTTTTCTTCTGCCAAACAATTACATAATTAAAGAAAAAACTTTTCACTGGACCTGGTGGTGGAACATTGGGAAGACAGCATAAAAAAGTACAAATCATTAAAAATCAATAAATAAATAGCTACGATGGCAGATGTCCAACAAACAGTTTCTACTATCAGTCACATCACAAGCATAACTTTAGTGTTTTGTATGTCCTAACTACCATAAAGTTTCCAGTGTCTGAAGTAAAGGTAAGTTCTGAACCTGAGGAAATGTTAGTGTCAATTCACAAAGAAAGCTCTCCAAGTCTCAAACTCACTAATATATCAACTGATAGGGGTATACCCCATTCAAAGATAGTGAACGTGATAATGCAAAAGCTTTAGGCTTGTTCTGTGAGCAAGAGTAATACAGCAACAAAGTCACTGGATTCTTCCCCAAGCACCAGCGCAGCTAAGACTAAGCAGGAGGCATTAATTGACAGTAGAAGTCATTTTGCCAGATGAAACATTCTTTTCCTTGCTCCTTGTCCAGTTCATTCACTTACTGAGCAACAGATTTTGAAAAGGGGGCATATGACAGAGATAGAACCCTACCCGTCTAGAAGCTAACCATTCACACAACCAGAACCAATTCCCTGGTTTTCTTAAGAAGCAAAAAGAATCCAATGATAACTCAATTTATTACATTTCCAAACTTCCGCTAAATATTGGTGGTGGGTGGGAATGCATTTTATGCCACGGCTCCTTCTCCCAGCACCCTCCCACCCACCCCCAGGAATGGCATTAATGGTGGACTGGACTCTCATCTAGTAGGACCAGGTGCACAGCATGGTGCCAGACAGGAGAAAGGAGTCTGTGAAACTCCCCACTGGGTGGAGTGAAGAAGTGCACCTGGGCTCAGGGGAATCCAAATCTGTGAATCAAGACTTATGCCCAAATACGCACCCACACACATGCCATACTTGGCCAACAACTACAGAACAGCAACATCTTCTTGACAGCCACAATTTCTGAATGTCCCCTCAAGGATGGAAAGAACCAACCTACATCAACAAGCAAGTTCCACCTACAACTCAGGAAGGGAACACCATGAAGCACAGAGATCTGGGGCTTTTTGCCCTACACTGAGGTCAGAACATTATCTTGTAAAAGCCTGGAGCGGATGTAGCTTAGAATTTGCTGGCCAGGTGGTTTTTATCAAGCAAGCAACTGTATTGTTGCAATATGAAATCAATCACAGACAATACATTAATCCATGAGCCAACTGGAATGATGACTATGTACCAACAAAACTATTTATGGACACTAAAATTTGAATTTCATAATTTTCACGCATGGTGAAATGTTATTCTTTTGATTTTTGCAACCAACTAAAAATGTTAAAATCATTCTTAGCTCAGGGGCACACAAATAGAACAGTGAATACTTGAAATGTTCGTAGACATAGTAACAGGCACTTAACTATGCATCAGAGATATTCTAAGCTTTAGCGGTAGTATTTACATATGCTGTTTTTCTTTATAGTAGTATGAATCATATAATAGTGAAATGGATCCTCTCCCTGGGGCAAGGGTTAGGATGGATCCTTACCCTTGGGGAAGGGGTGGGGGGGGTTAGGTAACTCCTCACTTAGGATGGACAAAATATATGTATAATGGTATTTACATATATTATTTGCTTCTATATAATCATATTTTAATAAAAGGAATCTGAAGCATTAAGAGGACATGACAGGTGAAAAGCAGAACCATAAATTTTAGTCCCAAACCAACATACTCAAGCTTGAGCTAAATTTCTAATAATTATGAGTGCACAGGACTGGGACATAATGGCAAGGAAGTATTAAATCTGGGTGTGGGAAAGATAAGTGTTTTATATTTAATGACTCGCCTCAGAAGGTAACAAGATATAATTCACACTGCAAGGAACTCAAATGAAAACTACGATTTTCCAAGTACATTGCTTTAAAGCACATCTGGTGCCTTCGAATCACAGGCTCCAAACAAGGGACCCACCCTGGTAAACAGTCTGGAATGCCAGAGGTCATCCTTTCATTAAAATCAAAACTAATGCAACGTGACAGTTAACCTCTTATTTAGATTTTTAATTCTTTCCAAAGATGAATTTGCAGAGATTTTTCTAACAGAGAAAATACAGTTTAATCAGTCAATCGGGCAAACAGTCAGTGAATCTCTCCTTTGTGCAGGGCCCTGCAGAAATGCCAAGCTTCGGTTACCCCCCAACCCCCACAAGAGACGGCGTCCATGATTTTCTATGCACAAACATGTGTAGAAATGAACCATCTTGGACTTGCAGGACAAATAAGAATTGTGTCACATTTAACCTTAAAAACACTGAAAAAGCAACATGCTATGAATCCCAGAGACACTTGTTACCTGTGGACAGCTGTGGCTGGCCCTCCCCTCTCCCGCTTCCTCCTTCATACTTTTATACATGACCCTAGCCCCAGTTCTAACTCCATCTCTTAAGAGGCACTTGCACTCAGAACCTGGGGCACTGAAGCTCCTGGATTTTTAAGTGGCAAAGGACAGAAGCCAGTGGTCATCAGAAAACACAAGGAGAAGCCGGGGTCTGCAGAAAGACTGTGTGATGCTTCAAGAGAAAGAAGCAAGCTTGCTGGGCCCTCTCGCAGGGAAGGAAGCCAGTTCAAAAGCTGGAGCTGAGTGTGTAGTTCCAGCCAGCAGGCCATGTGGGGATTCTGGCCCTGCATTAGCAGGACTTCTGGCTTTACAAAAGAAGCTGGAAATAGGACTTTATATGTGTAATCTCATGACAGTTGTAATTTCCTAAAACACTGTGCCAGATAAACAAATCTTATCCACAGGCAAGCCAGATAGCATGGGGACTGGTCAGCAATATCTGCATAAAGCCCAACAGCAAATTGGTGAATATGACATTAGTCAACAGTGAATCCTCTGAGGAATTGATAAATTCTGTGGCAAAGACACACACACTCGCACACACACACGAGAGTATGATGATTCTAAAACACCAGCATTCATACTTGTTCAGATTAAAACACAAAGGAATCACCAGGTTCTTTCCCTTTCACTCATTCCCCACC